TATTTTTTGTACTTCTTCAATAATGTATCCGGCGGTCATTTCGTTCACATACACATAACTATGCGTAGATATATTATTTAGTACTTGTTCGTCAAAAAAAAAAAAAAAACCGTGTGACGAACAATAACCAAGGTCCTCCATTCTATAGTATAGAATCCATTATATTATATATACACATGTCTGAGTGGCTCTTGTTAAGGATTAATAAAGTTTTCGGTATAGATAAATTAAAATTTGCTGTCAAAAAATGTTGTATTTACAATAACGGGAAACGCTGAAAAGACATCAAATCATGAACATAGTATTGTCTTATGATCAGCTGACTTTCTATCTTCTATCGATCATCTCTGATCAAGTAATTCTCTTATCAGTTATCAAGGAATTAACAAATTCCCCTTATTCCATTCCCCCCTATCCACACTTATCCCATTGCACCCTAAATTTAAATAATAAATTAATTTAAAAAGTTATGCTTGTTAGTTGTTGTTTGAGAACTTGAATTAATAATATAATACGTGCTCGTGTAAAATTAAAAATTTAAAGCTTTAGGATTTGTATTGTAGATCACACAGAGAGCGATCAGAGGTCAAACACAATAGGATAAACTTAAATAAGTTCAGTTTAAAAATTAATGAGTAATTAATTTGTTTTATTTTATAAATAAATATGATATTTTTTCTTTAATAACATTCATGTCATCATTATTATTGTCATCATATATAAAAAAAAAACTGGCCTCGTCAGCATCAGACAGATTAGAGTCGGTCTACACCACCAAGTTGTTTAATAATATGTCTATTTTAGTAATAAGACGAATGTTTACATTATTAACTCTCAAGTTAATAATGTAAACTCTAATACTTTCATTAATTTCTACTCGTTATAAACTCCACCATAATGCTGATGACCAGTGACCACTACCAGCCTACATTTTGAACAAAAATACTATTCTGTTGACTGAGAATATAATAATCGATTTCTTTCAAACTCAACGAACAACAGCTGCTGTAAACAAATTAGTCAACGGGTGGTTAATGGGTTAGTAATTGTAATTTTTATATGTTAAGATATTTTCAAAAGTCATCAGTCATCACCGATTAAAAACGCCGAAGCTATCGAAAATGTTTTTAAAACGTGCTTGGTTTGTTCTTTATGTGTCGTTAACAAGTTTTCGTGAACGTTAGTTTTCAAGTAGGTACACTGTCAGCATTAAAAAAAAAAAACACAGAATTCCTTAAATATCACGAGTTGGCTACAACCACCACTAGTATTTACATTCGGTTAAGCCAATAAATAAATCAGATAATAATTAAAATGTTTAAAAAAAAGTGGTCTAGAAAATTAAAATATTAGATAACGTCAATTTAGAGATTTTCGATGGCGCGTTAATTTGTTTTTTTTTCAATTCTAAAGTTGTAAAAAAAAAATGTACAGCATAACGATTAGAATTTTCTATTTTTTTTTTTTTTTGTATTAACGCATTGGCATTGTGAGCTATTGAATTATTTCATAAGTATATAATATTGCAGCATAATATTATTGTTATCGTTATTGGATCAAACTGGACGCAGTTATGGGCGAGATCTAACAGCTAGAATGAATGATCATTATATTATCTTTGCCGGTTAAACGATAATATTAAGCGCACTATACAATGCAAAGCGATAGTATCAGATTTTCTAAACATAATCATATAATATATTATTATAATTTTGGTGGTCGACGGTTAGGTTAGGTATTCAAGCAAAAGGGGACAAGCTCTGTTCGACTTAACAGTGACCATTATAGTAGAGTTCATTCACACACATTTCGAAACCACCAGCTGACGATTGCTGTAACATTAAGAATTTAACATAATATTATATTTTATTATTTATTAGCTCTTTCGCTTGTTTTTCTACATACATATGAACCGTAAAATTCGTTGACAATATGTTATATACTGACAATGCCTGTATTTTTTTTTTTTAACTTTTGGATTGTTTTTTTTTAACGCTCCGTCGACTGTCCTCCGAAAATAATTAATTAAATACAAAAAAAACAAGTTAGTTCGGTATAGCAATGTAGTACAGTCTATACTAATCGATTATTATTATTATTATTATTATTATTATTATCATGGTAAAATAATAATATAGAAAATATGTACACTCGGTAATAAAATCAGAACCCAAAACGATTGTGAAACTCAAAAAGTCCCATTACAGCTTCATTAAAATTAGGCCACGGATTAATGCACATATGCACTGAGAAATACTTAAAAATGCATTTATGACCTTGAACAAAATTTAATTAATTTTCTTAAAATAATGTCCTAAAAGCTTTGTAAAAAAAATATATAATCCTAAAACTATATAAAAGTCTTCACAAAACACTATATTTATTTTATGAACAAAAATTACATCTTTAAATAAAAATGAAAACAACATTTTAATTTATTTATATAATTAAAAAAAAAAAAACGTAAACATGACGAGTAATAGAATAATTATTTATTGCCATTCTCGCCAGTTTTTTTTAAATAGCTATATACATATAAGTATAGTTTAGATTTTATAATTTTAGAAATATGAATATACATAATTACTATACTTAATTATTCAACTTAAATGGAGAAAACTGCCGTTTAATGAGTTCTGAAATTACTAATTATTTTGTAATAAAATAATAACTGCTGAAAACAATATTTTTTTTCCGGAATTGTATAAAAGTGAAAGTGAATTCTTAGATTTTAATCCGTGGTTTAAACAATCCAATACTTAACACGCTTACTAAAGTTTTAAAGGTTTAACATACCTATACATAATGAACCACTGACATTACAAATCCGGTACCTACTTGTTAGACAGTTTGGTTATAAACACAATTTATATTGAAACAAATTGTAAAATATAATTTAATTACTAAAAATAAATTTTACATCATACATCAGGGACTTATTTCAATGGACTTATGGCCATGACCTGTACATTGGTAACCTAGCCCTCAAAGCACAACAGGTAGGTGACGAAAAATCAACTAATTAGAGTCAAGACACACATTATTGTGAAGGTAGTAATACATTTAAAATAGATAAAACCATTTACTTAAGTGTTAAAACATATTTTTTTCTCACTTTCAATTCGACAAATACATCAATCATAATACTATAAATAATATATAAACCTTAAATAATTGTTTTACCGATAACCACTAATAAGTTTATTTTATACTGTTAAATTCCCAATTTTAAAATGCTGTTTTAAAAGAGGGGGAAATACGATAATGTATAAGAATACTGCTTTAAAATCATTTATGATTTTTTCTTTTAAACGATTTAAATAAATTTTAGCACCTTTTATTTATTAGAAATATCCTTGTATTTAGATTACCAGTATATTATTTTTAAAAATGGCGCCTGTTGAAGAACTTGTTCTTATTTTTATAACGGTGAAATTTAGTAGCTAAAAATTTGAACAAGACAAACAACATTTTTTTCATCACAACAATTTGGATTCCAATGGGAATTTCGCGTACACAGGTACACTAGGAAAATGTGTATTTATAAGGTCTTAAAAATTAAAGAATATAATCTTTTTCTTTAGTTAGGTTCAAAGTGACTTTTTTTTTTTTATAATTCAGACCGTTTCGATCCTGGCATAGAAATTTGTGTAATTTTCATAGATATATTTTTTTTTATATAATCACCGTGTACTTACATATACGGACTAGAACACAAGCCAAGACCGCCCACCAAGTTAGCGCAATCATTATTCGTCTAATTATTAATCGTGAGAACGTTTTTGGACGATCAGATGAACCGCCATCGTCTTGGCGGGTGAGAAAAAAAAACCAGCGAGAACTCAAACCGCGTCTCCCCGAGTCTGCGGGAGACTTTAACGCGTTCCCGCTGCGCGCAAGTACACAAGTACGGTTTATAATGAAGAAAAAAAAACCAGCAACAATCACACACAACAGCTATCATAATTCGTACACAATAACAATAATATGTGTTGTGTAATATTATGTTTTTGTTTTCGATAAAATCGCCAATACGCTCACACTGAAGTCACGGTATCAACGACCTTTTTGTAAAATACATACCGTCAAGTATTACCTATACCTACCTAACATAATAAGCCGGTCGAAATTATCGTAATACCACCAAATCGATACACTTATATACACTAGTTGTATATTTTCCATTAGGCACGATGGTACTTATATTGCAATTTTAGATACACACACACCAGATGCCAAAAGAAAATGTAAATAACTGCAAAATGAACGCGTGAAATTACTAGTTTGGACAAAACATAAGGTAATAAGCGAAGTAGACGAGAGAGATTTAGGTGCAGGGTAGATCATAGAAGGTGGCATAGGAATGTTTTATGATTTGGAAGGGTCAACTACGTTTTGAACTTTTGGCGGTTCCTATGTTGTTGTCTTACTCTAAATTATAACACAAGAATAAACCCAAAATAGTGAACCTAACTGTCCTTTGATATTTCAGGTGGATACTGAGCTCTTCACTTATATATATATAATATATATATATATAGTAAATAATGCGCAAATCGTGTCACTCTTTCATCGTCGGGCTTAGATTTCATTAAATAATTTACAAAATACTCAGATAAACTTTGTGGGCTTAAAAATGGTTCACTGTTGTTATTTTTATAGTCAATACTCGAGCCATTTTGCTGGATATTTCTATTCCGCGATTGTGTTGAATGAAAGCGATATCCATATCCGAGGCCAAACAGCATGGACATTGGTAATTTGTGCAATTTGGTAAAAGTGATAGCAACCCTAAAATATTGATATTTCTGTGATTTTATCGATTTGGGCGCGCATGTACCCTTTTTGAACCAAATTAGGCGCAGTCGCCCAATTCGACAAAAGTTTGTGATTCATCTTAAAAGTGTCCCCCCCCCCCCCGTGTAAAGTATCAGACGGGCGCCCTCGATCGCCATATTATCAACGACTAGGTATGATATGATATTTTTAAAAACACTGACCTGAAGTGATTATCGCCGGGGGGGGGCGGGGGCGGGGGTAGCTGCTCCTGGGCGTGAACACTGTTTTTCAAAAAAAAAAACCAAAAAACGAACAAACAAAATATAAACGGTTCGAGTATGATATGTCGAGCCACGCGCGTTTTACACTTGTCGGCAGCGACCTAATCTACCTCTACTCGGCACGCACACACGATGGGGAAACCGGTCAGTCGCGTTCACGTCGGACCGTTGCACTGTGCCCCGGCAACGCACTACACGGGCACGGCGAACGAGGCGGTGGCAGAAAGAGTGTTTACCGCAGCAACGGACACTCCGGTTGCCAGAGTATCAAGTAGTGTATAGTAGTACCTTGTAGTCAGTGTCTGCGCGGCCTTCGACGGCTGATAATAAAAAAAAAAACACTGTGTGACGACCGCCGAGGACGAGAGCGCGCTCACACAAGAAAATATTAAACTATAATGAATAATAATAATAATAACGTGCCAGAGTCGTCGGTCGGACGAACAACAAGGAGTGCGCACAAAGTAATAAAAACGCTCACCTACAGGTTACGGGTTTTTTTTTTATTTTATTGTGTTTGCGTTCTCCCACCTTCTTCGGTCGCTAAGGTGTTTTTTTTTTTGTACACGGTGTATCGCTTCTAGAATTTTTTATATTTATTAAATCACCCCATCTGTGCCCTCGGTCGCCCCTCTCCTCGACACTATACATTATCGTTTCCCAGGACTTAACGACAACACAAACAACAACAAAAGCCACGAGGCCAGACCAAACGCCGGTCAGTCATCCCATCCCGGTCGTCCGCGTCGTTCGATGACAAAATAATATACTACTATTATTGGGTTTTCTTTTTTTGTTCTACATATTTTATTGTATACAATATATTATAATATTTTGCTATTGGTTTTCAATCTACACTGGCGTGTGTGACACAAGTTAAACAAACAGTTTTTTTTTAGTACGATTAGTATGTGGAACTAGTTTGGACTAGTAATGGTAGCTTGCTTGCTTGTCCTTACACATTCGTTGATTTTTAATCCGACATTATCCTGTACCAATTTTGTGCTGTGGTGATCTTTGTAAAGATGGACAGAACGACTTTGTCTGCCTAAAATAAATCAAAAAGCAATGGACAACAACTATATCGAGTGCGTCGATCCAATAGGGAAATGTACTTTAAAAATACCAATCGGCAATCTGAACTTTGTGATTGGAAACGACCAAACTATAACATTGTGTTATTTTCTTTTAATTTAACTTCAAAACCACGCCATAAATGGGACGTCGTATCGCTATTTATTAAGGAGTTGGGTGTAGGCAATTATTTGCAAAATCTCAATTTAAAGATTAAATTGTAATTTGTAATTATTAGATTAGTAATAAGAATTCTTTTTAGGCAGTTAATTTATTTTTCGGCCTATCGCAGTATCTTTGTCATTGATTTTAAATATTTTTTTTTCATCTAAACATATGTTTTCCAATTCCAAAAACACGTCTTACTGGGTGGTTTTAGAGTATAAAAACTCCTATTATAAATATTGTAGGTGAGAACTTTTTCTATGTTTTGTTGGAAACCGATTTTCGATAGTTGGTTTGGATACGGAACAATATGGCATAAAGAAAAGGCATATTTTAAATTATTCGAATGTAGATATTATCTTAAAATTAAAATCTAATTTTTAAAATCTAATTCCAACAAAGCATAGTTAAAGTTCTCATCTTTCAAACAATTTATAATTTATATCTCATTGCAGACTTCATTCCATTGGAAACACATGAGTACTATTTTGGTGCTATTATTTTGAGGTGCGACGTCCCCTTAAAGTACAAATCGACCGTATCGATGACTATATTGTATAGATTGGAAGCAAACAATATTAAGTTCATAGCGTTTTTAGTTTTTTGCCATCTTTGACTTGATTTCCATCTAGCTGCGATTTAGGATTGTTTGATTTCTGCATATTATACTCACACACTATGCCTGAAAGGTGCACATGAAACGTTTCAATACCGTGGAAACCATTAATATAATATACCTACTATGTATTGGTCTTCGAGGACGACGTTCAGATGTCGTTGATCTCTTTCTATATGCCTTTACATCGCACGGTCCCATAAATGGGCAGACAACAGTGCAACAAGGAAAACTCAGCACACCTTGTATTTTTAATGTAAAAAAAATAATAATAAATTATTACGTTTCCGGTTGGTTTTTTTTAATACTTTACTCAAACGACATAATATTCAGCGTACCAAAATATGTATTAAACATTCACAATGTCCATATTAAACATACTCCTTAAGGGGACGTCGCACCTCAAAATAATAGCACCAAAATAGTACTCATGTGTTTCCAATGGAATGAAGTCTGCAATGAGATATAAATTATAAATTGTTTGAAAGATGAGAACTTTAACTATGCTTTGTTAGAATTAGATTTTAAAAATTCGATTTTAATTTTAAGATATAATATATACATTTGAATAATTTAAAATATGCCATATTGTTCCATATCCAAACCAACTATCGAAAATTGGTTTCCAACAAAACATAGAAAAAGTTCTCACCTAAAACATTTATAATTGGGTTTTTTACTCTACCACCCAGTAAGCCTTGTTTTTGGAATTGGAAAACATATGTTTAGATGAAAAAAAAATATTTAAAATCAATGACAAAGATACTGCGATAGGCCGAAAAATAAATTAACTGCCTAAAAACAATTCTTATTACTGATCTAATAATTACAAATTACAATTTAAGCTTTAAATTGAGATTTTGCAAAAAATTGCCTATACCCAACTTCTTAATAAATAACGATACGACGTCCCCTTAAGGAGATTCGATACCGACCATTTTTAAGGAGTTTCGTATAGGCAATATTTAGGAAAAATGTAGTTTTACTCATTTTTGACCATATGATTTCATTTTTTTTTTTTTTTAGGTTAATTTGTAGAGGCCTCAAGGTATTGTTTTCAACTAATACAAATTTTTTCTACGAGAAAATGCCATTCTATCTAAACTTAAAACTAATACCATTTATTGATTTTTCTATCATTTCAGAGTTCAAAGGTCAGCCGGGCAGCTGTCGTACGTCCTAAACAACACTTGGCTCAAGTTAAAACATTTTTTTATAAAAATAAAATTTAACGTTTTACACTGTAATTAGCTATACTTTGCACAATCCATTTTACAAAATGAAAGTTCAACTTCGAGGTAAATAAACTTTTAACGCATATTTTGTTCTCAAATTATTGTACGAAGTATTACTATATTATTATACATAATATAGTTATTACATTTTTTTTTTCGTCCTCCTTTAGAGATTTTCATAGTAACGTTAGTATTGTGACTGAATTTACTATTATTGGTTTTTGTTTATTGGAAAAAATGTTAATGTAATTATTCTAAAATAGAAGCTACACATTTTAATAAATAATAGTTGGAAAATAACACTACTTAATTAGTTATTATATTAAATTTTGGTTTCAATAATTATTTTGTTTAAAAAAGGTAATTAAATAAAAATAAACTTTTGTTAACCTGTAAAATTGTATAAAAAATCACTTGTATAATATTAGTTTGATACTTACGGTGCCATTTGCACAAAATTTATAGTTTTATGCAAATTTTTAAGTAAAAAAAATAATTCTAGGTAACAAAACAGTGTTTAAATACGACTACAACCCAAAATAAATCTATTGTCTATAGCTAAATGTAAATACTTTATTTCTGTATTTCTATGGTTTACTATTTATTCATATTCAATAAATTATATGTATATATTAGGGTGGTCGGTGGTTCAAAAAAACCTTACTTTAGAATTTTGTTTGTAATAACTCACCCCCCTAATTTTTTCTATATGATATAAATAATTCTGTGAAAATTTGGGTTCGATTACTCAACACCTTCACGTGCCGTATCGATTTGTTGTCGTACAAATAAAATTTTAATTTAATAGAATAAATGACAAACAAAATGTTGTTAACCTTTTAAATACATTAGTTTGTTCCTAATAACAATTTATGAAGTTTTTCAATAAAAATAAGTTTAATTGAGCATTTTTTTTTTTATTGTATAAAAAAAGTCTATTGCCCAATTTATTTTCGTCAACTTAAAAAAAATCAACGTGCGACAAAATAACATTTGTTACAATATTTTTTAATACTTAAAACGTTAATAGTTTTTTACAAATTCCACCAATACATTTAAAATTTCATAAAAATATTAATTTACACCATTACATTAAACATTTGTTTTTTGTCTTAAGTATAAAACTAGTTGTAGTTATACATATAATATATCCTTCTAATCCTGCCTTAAAGAATAAATAAAACACATTTTAAATAAATTTAAATGTTCAAAAGTCTTAATATGTTACACGTTATACCATTTTATGACATAAAAAATATAAAAATAATTAACATGAAAATAACACAATGTCTTAACTATTACATAACATCATCCAATTTGATCAATTACAGTCTTTAAACACGGCAATGGCAATGTTTGAAAATAATACACACAAATTATTTTATGTATATGATAATTTTGCTCGCCGATCGATCAACGTGTACAAACTGAGTGTGGACGACACCATGCCGGCGACGCCGATTATGCCCGGACTAAGACGGACAATACCCAAATTGGTCAAAGGTAACATCAAATCACAGCCATTTTTCACGGTATCAATTAACAAGTCTTTGTGGTCGCGCACAAACTGGATCGCTTCACCGGTGAAAACGTCCCTGGGAGCTACTTTTCGACTCAGAGTGTTTAAGATCTTTTTCTTCAATACCGCTTTCAACAACCTGTTCAGCTCTACGACGTCCCTGACGAGATTTAAAACTATGGACAGAAGCCAATACTTGTTGGCCACTTGGCTCCATTTGGTGGCATTCACTTGAATAAAATTTTGTTTTCCTAACCACAAATAATGATCGCATAGCAGGTACAGCGAATGTGCTATTTTCGAAAAAGTCACACAAAAACGTATCGTCTTATCTGAATGGTTGACCGTCCTCAAGGCAGTGTGCAGTGAATCTATGAAGCGACCAAATCGTAACACTGAAAGAAAAAATTACAATATGGTTATCGATACAAACGACAAATGCGATTAACTCGTAAGTAACCATACACTTTCGAAACGCCGCTAATGACTGTTCTAACTGTTTCATCTTGTAAATGGTATCGATGTTGATATCTTTTTTTTCCATATAATGCCACGCTGTTTTAGAACCATATTGTAAAAACCTGTAACAAAAATTGAAAAGTAAATAAAAATTGGATATGAAAAAAAAATAGCTTTCGCTATAAAATAATATCCTAATTTGGAATTATGACATTATATTATATATTATGTATAATATATAATTTTTAATTTTTTTTTTTAATACACTAAATTATAATCGATTCATTCTTTCTTTTAAATTCCAAAATTTGTAGCTTATTTAATAGAGAAAATAAAAAAAACATAATTAAAAACACATTTGTTGCATACCTACAAAATTATTTTACCATCTACAGTTTTATATTGAAACGATTTTAGAATTAAAATTTGTGCTAATTGTCAGTTTTACACATTCGCCATTGTTAATTAACATTATTCATAATTGTACTGTATTTTTTCGATTTAATTAGCCTGGTATTTTTTTTTTTTTTACTTTTCAATAACAATAAATGTATTAAAAATAATTGGTACTACAAAAATAAAAAACATATTCAATTTACAAACATATTATTATACCTCGCTATTCTATCACGTCCGGCACTTTTGTTGTTCAGTTCGATTACTAAATCCATATTTTAATGGAATTAAAATTTCAGAACTACACTAATTCGTTATGCAAGTGGTGAAACATAAAAATCAAAATATGAAAGAATACCGGTAGAATAATGATTGTGTATTTTAATTAATATTATTAAAAAAATAATGATTTTACATAATTTATTATTGATAATGGTACGACGTCACGTCGATACAATAAACAATAACAAATTGTAATAACTAATAACGTTAATTACTACCGTTGAAAGAAAGATAACACCTTTGAAATGCTTAGATTACGGGTTAAAGGAGAACTCTTATCAGTATTTACGTCTGTTCACTGATAACGTGGCCAAGCATTTACCACTTTGTAAACAGGTAAGTCGGTCATTCGTGATAACCGATATGCAATGGCCGCCGGTTTTCTTGGGCGGCCGAGTGATTCTTATACGGCAACCATATTGGAAAATTGATAACGCGAAACGCCGACATACCTGTTTCATTTCGTATAACTCTCGCCGCGGTTGTGCAACAAGTTGTTTTTCCGATTGTTTTCTATGCGTTAAACGAACGTGTACGCCGTTTAACTTGAACAAACTTGAGAGCATTATGAGTTATTCTAGTCGAATCGCACAATCGCCCGAGTATACCAGCTTCAGGAGTAACGTGCCGCTCAAGAAAATCTTATTGGACGACGCGTCTAACAAGGTTATATTTTTAGCTTGTTTTTTTCATTTTTCCATCACAACAAAAAATTATATTACGCAACTCGCAAACAACCATCTGTTTGTATAAACTTAAAATTTGTGTTATTTGTGTATTGTCCGTACCACCGTTTAGGGATGGCGAGTGTACGATACGGGACCGCGATCTGTCGAAACCCCATTGGTTTTCCTGCATCCGGTCAGTGGCACGGCCGAAATATATTTCAAACAGTTGCTTTCGCTAAGCGCAAAAGGTTATAGAGTGATATCGGTAAGTTGTCGACACGAAAGGTTTTTACATGTTAAAAAATACATACTTGTACTTATTCACTTACAGGCAGAAAACCCGCCTTACTGGAGCGTAACCGAATGGTGCGAAGGATTCATGCAGCTTTTAGACCATATGGACATAAAAAACATACACCTATTTGGCGCTTCCTTAGGTAACAATTGTTTAGTACAGTATAAATTAATATTTACACTTTTTTATTTTCGTCATGTACACAAATCTTACATTGCCGATTGGACTGTATCAAAAAGTATTTATTAAATTTAGCTTTTGTTCGCGTTTTTTCCAATTTTCTATAATTATCAATTTGATTTTACAACATCTTATAAGCAAAATAACATTGCCATTATAATGTTTAACATGCTCATTAAATAATATAAACTAACCGATTCCAATATTCAATTAACCATACCGATTATTAATACATATGCGCATCGCCACGTTTAGGTAGAAAATCTTAAAACGATTTGTACATAATTTTTTAATCAGCATTGTACAAAAACTGTGTTGATGTTCCAATTTAATAAACAAATTCGTGACCTAAAAATATGTTCAAGTAGTTACTAGTTATAAGTTTATTCTAAAATCTGAAAACTTTGGATTGGGGTAATTTCATAAAAGTTGAATTATTTTTAAAAAGTGTGGTAATGTACTAATTACTTACCTAAAAACAAAAAAAACATTTCGCCCAAACTACAAAATACTAAGAAGTATTTAATTAGCAGTCGAGATTAAAATTGTTTTAATTATTTAAATAAAAAAATTACAACACATGAAATACAGACTTTTTAAAATAGGCAAACATAAATCTAATTGATTAAGTATTATTTAAAAATCTAAATAATAAGTAATTTAAAGAAAAATTATCTTCATGCAACTTATCAATAGTTGTTTTATAATTCTGATCTCGTGGACGCTAAACGATGCAGCACCGAGACTGAAATGTAAATGCGACAATTGTGATTTGGTACTTTTAAACAAACTAAACAATTCTTAAATCATATATTTAATCACGTTATTTTGTGGGGTTCTTCAATCAGAGGTGCGACTACTTTTCATTTATCGCTTGTTTGTATTTAGTAAGCATGAAAATTATCTGTTTAAGATGAACATAATATTTCAAAATTGCTTTTTAAAATTATTGAAAACGCAAACTGACAAAATATGTCAAACTATGTTGGATCTAAAAAAAATTATAAGATTATAATTAAAGACAATATCGTCCTTACCGTAATAACAGTGACGTCATGAGAAATCTATCGGAAAGTCCTTTTAACTGATTAAACTAACGACAATGTAAGAAATACAGAAATTGATAATAACCATTTGAAAACAAAAAAGGTAAACTTCACACATTATACTATGAGTTAATGAAAATATCATCACAGTAATACAAATTAACTCGTGTATAGGTCTTTTTTTTTCTTTTTATCAGATTTATTGCAATATAATATTTTTTTTTTTTTTGCTGTTATAGCACAATAATTCTGTCAATGCGACCAATTGGATTTTTTTTCCTTTGCTATGTATGGATATTTAGGTGTCAAACACAATTTAGTCGAGTTATTTTTAATAATAAAACAAGTATTTGGACTATGATAATTGGTTAATTTTACTATATTAAAATTGCAATTAGTTTTGTGATAATATACATTTAAAAAAAAACTCGAGCTAATAGTTGTGTTTATTTGAAAGACTTTTCAAAAGAAGAAATATCTTTTCTGTTTAAGTATGCAAAATTAGTACATCAATTTTAGTAAAGGGGTTTTTAATTTGCCCCTTTGAAGGTGTTCATCAACGCAAACAAAAATAGTATCCGAGTATTCCATCATTAGCAGCAAACTCAATATGAAGTATATTTTATTTTATACCCGAAAGTTAAGTATAACAAAGTAACGCATTCGAACTTAACGCAAAAATCACATTTTTCTAAAAATAAAACAATCGTTTTACCGCTTGTTTTTTAATTTTTAAGGCAAAAATAAATTGAATTTTTGATTTCTTGGTCAACACAATAGCACAAACCCTACGACAATTTATAACATGCCGTGAAAGATACAAAAGGTGGTCACCTCGTAGATCATCAACGATAATGAGTGTTAATTTTAATGCATAAAATAACATGGTCACTTACCTCAACCAAAATACCAGAAATTTCCTCGAATCTATTTCTTTTTTACTGGTACTCATGTTCTTGTCCGGCGTCGTCCGAGAGGTGTCTTGTTTTTTTTAACTGTTCTACTGAATTATTTTAATAAAACAGATAACTATTGTAATAATCCTCTGAGACATGTATGACTAGGTACATTTGAAGATTCGGCGCAGGTAGACAATAGGTTTGTGTACTTAGAGTACACGTAGGTCGTTAAAGATAACACTCCCGTAAGATGTATACATATTTATCAGAGCATATATTATAATGACTGTTCTAATTGTTTAATTTTATAAATGTTATCGTTGCCGAAATCTGATTTTTTTTTTTTGGAACCACATTGTAATGGCAAAGATATGCAGAATATTGTATTTTAATTATTAGGGTTGATTATCTGTCTAAAGTAAACACAGCCATCACTTTAAAAAGTTGCCTTTACCCTTCACAATCAAGAAAAATACCGAAAAATTTTAATATATTTTTCAGCTTATAATTAACACTAGCCATAACTTTTTTCGGTTCAAATTTGTATCAAATAGTCTTTAAATATACGTCTATAGATATGTGTTGACTGACCAAAAAAAAATTTTTAACTTTTCCCCCAGAAGAGTTAGAACTTTTTTTTAATTTCTTTTTTTTTCAGTAAAGTTTTGGGACTTAGATCTGAGAGTGAAGACATTCACGAATTTCTTAAAAATTTGTAGTAAACATTTTTTTGTTAAGGATAAACCAAAAAAAAAAGGTAGAATTTACACTTTAACCGTATTCTAGGTTGATATACGAGAATGAATAAACAGTGAACAGATGTTTAATAATAGTTTTACTATGTTGTTAATTACGGTATATTGGAACCAACGGCAACAAATGATTACAGACAAATTTAAACCCCACCATGCTTAGACCCCACTGTATAGATTTTTTTGGGTTTAACTCAAGATTTTTGATATCATTGTATTATGTCTTTACCCCATTCTAGATCTATCTCCATTCTTATTTAAAGACCTTAAGTCCTAAAAAATCAGAGTGATAAAAAAGTTGTTTTTCTTTCTAAATGAACGGTTCATGTCTAAAGAATAGTTTATACAATTTGGAAACCAATTTACCAATGCCTATATCTGCATGTGGCTGACAAAATTTAGTCTGACTACTCGCGGCTGATAATTTATTAATCACATCGTTGTGAAAAAAATACCTTCACAGCTATGCATCCAAGCTAAGTAATGATGTCATGTTTTTGTTTTAGGTGGTTTTTTGGCGCAAAAATTCGTCGAGTTTTCAACGATTGTACACCAACCAAAAGTCGTGTCTCTATTTCTGTGCAATACGTTCACGGAAACTTCTATTTTTAAATACAAAGAAGCTGCTGTACTGTAATTATCGCATTATTAATTAATTAAATAGACGTAGACACGCAGTAATTGTCGATTACCCCCCCTCCCCCAAATTAAAAGCCACGGTTTACTCAAAGTCCCAAAATGAATTACCTGTTATAAACCCACTGCTGGGTTGAGTAGTGTAATCGAATGTCCATTGAATTTGTCTTCGGTTCTTTTGAGCTCAATCAAAACGATATGGTAATTCACCATAGTGAGTATGGTGAATTCCTTCATTCTTATCAGCTATTACATAGTGGCTAAATCATCCTTTTCCTAGTGTTTCTCACTTTTTCGAAGGATCTACGACAGTTTAAAACAGATATTACCCACACGTCAACTACGATTAACTTTATAATTCCAATGCGTAGTCAAGTTTTTTTGGATTTGAACAAAAAGTTACATAGGTATGTAATTGTAATGATTAATGGAGATGAATGTGGATTGAGTGTGATTGGAAAAATATGGCTTATGATTATTATTGACAATAACACGGAGATGGTAGATGTATGTTAGGAGGCGCTTTGAGTGGAGCCCGAGGACTAGGATGTTAAATAGTTTGGAGTAAAGATGAGGTACAAGAAGAATAAAAGCAATTGAAATCCCCACATTTTGCGCATTAACCATAATAAAACGATAATTTTTACTTAGATTTTGGATTTTGCCCGCAATAGTACTGAAAAAAATGGTTTTAACAAATTTCACTTCGAGAGAGGCTTATCATGATACGCAAATCGTAGACTCGATAGATTTCATGGTCGAACTGGTGAGTGTTAAAATACTTGATCGTTTAATTTTTGTCGTCCACAATTGTTTTACTTTCAGATCGAGTCACTGTCTCAAGCGGACTTGGCCTCTCGTCTGACGATGAACTGTTTGAACAGCCGAGTCAACACCTCATTGATGAGAGGCTTGAAAACCGTCACCATAATGGACGTGTTCGATAATTACGCCTTGGGTTCACCCGTCAAAGAAAAAGTCTACAAAGAATATCCGGATGCCAAGTTGGCACAGCTCAAATCCGGTGGCAATTTTCCGTATCTCAGTCGCAGCGACGAAGTCAATTTACATTTACAGGTCAGTTTCAACGGTTTTCTGTCTTTGCTTTTGGGTTTTATCATGCAAGAATAAATTAACTAAAAATAGGTTGAATCTAAATTTACCGGCAATTTACCACGAGAAAATGTTTACAACTGACCAGACAGCAGCTACTTCCGAAGGTGGTTATAACTTACAGAGTTTGTTTATATCACCTCATTCGAATCTTGTAGTTTTGGCCATGCCCAAGGGTTGTGCATAAACAGACTGCAAGTTATTCATAAATTAAACTAGGTGCCATTGCAATTTTAAACCGTAGCTCTCGTCGTAGAGTTTACTATTTTAAGCTTCGTTGCGTAGCTGGAAAGATATTAGTTTTTTTATGATAACCTTTTATCATAGAAATGTGCAACCGTTTGTGCACAACTATTTCACGAGTTGTTAAATAAAATAAAAATTGGGATAGATTAAAAAAACCGTGAAATTTTAAGCTTAATCTAGAAAATATGTAGAAGCATGACAATAATTTTAGAATTTGTTAGAAAGAGGAGTACAGATTTAGTGACGCGTCACTAAACAAATGTAGTTTGTATTCATATGGTTATACCCATAATAAATGCAAAAGTGTGTTTGCTCCTTCAAGGCTATATATAGTTTATTAATATAATGTACAATTTTATAATGCATTGTACAATATAATATAATATAATCTTATGCGCGGGTGTTACGTTTACCTGTTGTAAACGAGAATTAGGAAATATATCGAGTAAATTAAGCTAAAGATTGTTGTATTGTTTATTGTTATTTTATTGACATAGTTGAGCATTTATCGTGGCCCGAAAAATCTTAAAACCCACTAATTTTGTTGGTTGACCCTAGCCTAAAAACCATACCTATCATTTAAAAAATTATTGAAACTTGAGTGGGGTATTATGTTCACATGACTTGAGGTTACTCACACTTGAATGTCTTGACTAGTTCCCTCTTCAGGGTTGTGGTTCGATGTTGCTCGTACCGCGCTCTTCTGCAGACTGACCGATTCGCTTCCGTGGGCATAGGTTATATACCATACCCCCCACCGCATTCTCCGCTTCTTCTTGCCGCTGCCAGCTGTTTACTACGGCCACGCCCCTTCGCCTTGGCTGGCTACCGCATGACTGATTGCCGTTATCAATTATTTCTTGCTGCCAGCTGTTTTCTACGGCCACGCCCCTTCACCTTGGCCGGCTACCGCGTGACTGATTTACGTCTCCGTTATCAATAGTTTCTTGCTGTATTTCCGGCTCTCTTCGTTCCGTTTGGTCACCGGTTTCCGAAAGCGAATCGGTCAGTCTGCAGGAGAGCGCGGTACGAGCAACATCGAACCACAGCCCTGAAAATGGAACGTGCAAGTGTTCCGGAAACGTTGGCCAACTAGTCAAGACATCCAAGTGGGAGTAACCTCAAGTCTTGTAAATAGTGCATACCTATCATGTTAAAAACATTATTTTTTATTTTCAGATTCACCTAAGACAATTTGACGGTACCCCTTTCAGTGCAAGCGACAATCTTCCCATTAACGAATGATACGAAAAATTCTAAGAAGTCGTTCACCGAATATAATATATTTTATACAAGTTGAAAATAGCTCAATTTTTATACAGGCCAACGTACTGATTTTGAATAATATGCGCTGTAAACATTGAATTTCAACAACTAGATAATATTATACTTTACACTGTTCGTTTTATGACAATGTTTTTTCCTCTATTTTTTTTTATATAATTAATTAATTAATTTTTATTTACTTTTGAGACTTATTTTTTTTTTTTTAAACTTGTGATTTAAATGATTATTTCTTTTTTATGAAAACCACACGTATAATAACACTAAATTAAATTAATATTCACATTAAAGAAGAATGGTTGGATTTTTTGGATAAATAGATAAAATAGGTATATATATATATATTTCTGCTTCAAATACACTTGTACAAATTCAATATCATGTAAATTAAATATCATTGAAAACTACTCAACAACTATACTATACTATTAATTAATCAATGACAAAATATATACACAGATATTTAGCGAGTGTTATTTTCTATTTATATTGTTTAATTTTAAGTGTTTTTTTGATTGTAAAAATAATAAAAATAAAAGCGTTAGTTTTTTTATTTTGTCTAATACAATTTTGTTATATTTTTGTTATTATATTTTATTTATTTCATTATATTAAAACGAATACGACGGTTGAACTCAACTTTATTATAATGCCAAAGTCTAGGTGATGGAGGAATATTGTATGGTAATTATGTTTGTACATTTTATTGCTTTTTTTCATAATAAACAACATAATTTGTGTCAATTAATTATAATGTATCAAATTTTTATCAAATGTGTCGAATTTATCAAAAGAAAAAGATGGCAAAAAATAAAAATAAATTATTGTTATACCTTATTAATAATTATTAAGGGGCCTCAACACTAGCATTTTCTAAGGCGCATTGTATAGGCAATTTTTCACTAAATCTTAACATTACGCTAAACATTTTAAACGTACATAAGAAAAGAAGGATATATTTTGATATTTAATTTTTTTTTTTAATTTTATAACATATAGGATCTACTTTTGTATAAAAACATATGTTTCTAATTCGGACAGAACTTGCCTCAGTATACTCTGATTTAAGTTTTGGAAAAACATTTGAGTTCTTCATACCATTTTTAAGGCATCGATTGTGGCACAATTTTAATAATATGTTGAGTTAATTCATTATTTCAATGTGAAAAACTTTTTTAAACTGAAATAATTATTTAACAAAAAATAAAATAATATTTTTTCCTCGATCGATGCCTAAAAAATTGTTTGAATTCTTCACATGTTTTTTTCAAAACTTAAATCTTAGGAACAGTATGTTTGATGTAGAATGATTGATTTTGACCAAAAATACGCAGGTGAAGAGACCATATTTACCAGGTGTATTATTATTGGATTACATTTTATTTAATTTGTATTAAAAAAAAAACATGCATATTAAAATATTACTGCATTTTCTTAAATTAAAAATCTAGAAGCAAGATTGTTCCTAGAACAAAACGTAAATTAATTTTGTAAATAGAACATAAACAATTATATTTTCCAATCTCAGAAAAAACAATAATAACTTAACTGTTTTTAATAATCAAAAACAAACGCTCAAAACTAATTCTAAAAATATAAATGTATTTAAAAAAACACTAAAATAATAAATAACAACAAAAACAATTTTAACATTTTTTTTTTTTATTTAGTTCCTTGAAATAATTTTTTTATCTAACTAAAAATTCGAATAATTATAGATCACAATAGTTTCTCCTCTCTGTGTCACGGTTAATTGCGTACCTAGTCGATTTTTAAATACCGACGCCTGATAAACAATAAATTATAAGACAAAACGAACTATAACAATATTTTTTTATGTAAATTTCAACAACATCGACTTGGAAGAAAAACACTGTGATCATACTGTTATAAGAAAAACTGTACACAAAAATATTAACTTAAATACCGTGTAAAAAAAAAATTAAAAACAAAAAAAATCTTTTAACCATAGAGTAATAATTTAAAGAGATGAACTAACATATACTAGCTTGTATGCAAGAGCGAAGTAAAAAGTAGGACTAAAACCAGTATGACCACATAATGGAAAAAAAATTCTTTATTATTGAACAAATAAAACAACTAGGCATTGTTGTTAATTAATACAAATAAATAGCTAAAACGTATATAACTTATATACAAATTAATAATAATAAATTTAATATATTTTATCGAATTTAAACACAATATTTTTTCAAAATACTGTTATCATTGATATCTTATCATCACGATATATTGAACGATAATTATTTTCTTTCTTCTATCTTAGTAGACTGACTTTAGTTCTACTTTTTGCAACACATTAAAACTACTGTTGCCACCCCCTGCTTTAAACCCACAAAAAACTCCAGTAGACCGCGTTGAACAGGACAAAAGCGACGGGAAACGCTATCCTGCTTTTCTCGTCGATCCAAACGGCGATGTGTTCAGCGGTCGTTGTCAATCCACCGTGTAACTGCCGGTCGGCCTCTTCGGACACTTTGAACTTGACTTTGCCCATCGCTTTCATTTCCATCGTGTACGGAAGCTCTGCGTCCAACACGGTCGGGCCCTGCAAAACGGCCAAACCACCGCGACAGGGACGATTAATGTCAAAAATTCCCAATGAAGGTGTAAAGTCCAGTGTTGCCAGACGCACGTTAATTACCGCACTTGCACGGTAAATTTATACTACATACGGTATTCGGTAGCAAAGTTAATACCGTACGTCGATTTAGTGTGGTCCCTTGGACCATTTGGTATCCGATATAAAGATCCAATTGACAAAAAATTAAATAAGCTTTTAGGTTTAATGTTTACTTATGTCGTCAGTCGTGGCCCGTGCAGCAAACACCGGTCTATTTTTAAATTATTCGGTACTATTCAACAACGCTGGATAATACCAACCTTTATGGGTTTTCCTTATGTGCGTTATTCGTTCTAGATTTACGTGTGTTGATTATTATTTATCATATTTTTTGTTTAAAATTTCATTACCATTTAGCCATTACAAATTTAACATTACATTTATACATTTATGTATAGTACATAAATCGTTATAAAATGGAGAGATTCCTATTCAAAATTACCAAGGTAAGTTATCACGTGTTTTTTTTATGTTGACAAAAATGTATAATTATTAATCGTATTAAACTGGATTGGTTTCTAGCATCTTTAACGTAGGTAGTCACTTTACTTAACATTTAATTACCTACCTTCCTAATAATTATTATTAACTAAATCAGTGTAAATAGTTTATAAATATATAATGATTATTGACTTATAATTCGCGAAGATTGTGTGAAATTTTTCGTGTACGGTAATTGAATGTACATTACGGTAATTTTGAAGACACTGTACGTTAATCCCATTTTTTTAATTCTGGCAACACTGGTGTAAACACCGATTTTGAAGGGGAAGAGGTAAACTTTTTAATGGTCCAATAAAGTTACTTCCAGAAACAAGTTATAATCTAGAGAACTACCGCATGAAAAAATCGGTTCAGCGGTTTAGAAGAAATCGTCGTTTTAGAAACAAAAGTAAATAAAAACACATCATTGTAAAAACAACAAGTTCTCAGCTTTATCATCGAAGCTAAAAATTATTTATAAAAACCCATTATTAAATTTGTATTCCTTATGGCCGGGCTAAAATAATAATTATACTGCAACCTTAAACGATAGCGACCAATCGTTTGACAAAACGGGCACATTATTTTCTGTCGCGTTCTCGGTTCTTAAAACGCGTTTTTGGAAGGAATTACAATAATTATTTCTTCTGATATCCACACGGTCAAATATGTTTTCCTAACCGTCGTTTATTTTGTACCCATAACTATATACGTGAGTATAATAATATATAAATTTTGCAGCTGCAACAACAACGTTTGTCCCTTTGTATATTATAATAAAGTGTTTTTTGTTATATTCTCGCGTGGGACATCTGGAAACGACCTTTTGGCGCGTGCAACGCATTAATGTAAAAAGAACCAGATGGCACGATTGCTCAAAGGATAGTATTATTATGTACAATACAACCTTTCAAAAATTCCCAAAAAAAAGATCTTAAAAAATACGTTACTTACTTTGGTTGATCGCCTGTTTAAAACCGAACCGTATTTATGCGACTGTTTGTTTTTCGCCAGTTTGTTTGGATTGATCGACGACTTCAACATTTGTGTGTTTGACTTGTTTTTCAACTTAACCGGATAATGGCTGTGGAATCGAATGAACAAAACGTTACATAATAATCCGTTAGCTCCAACACTTGAGGCGATTGCAAACATATTATGTTAAAAATGATAAAATGTTATATTAACAATTAAAAATATCATAATTAATATTATCATTTTTTTAAAATCCAATTCAACTTCTAAAAATTTTGTTTTTAAATTAGTATTGGAATAAAAAAAACTATTTCAGAAAATGCAACAATAAAAAACATCAAAACCATAGAGTAATAATATAAATAAATGAACTAACATATACTAGTTTGTATGTAAGAATGAAGTAAAAAGTAGGTCTAAAACCAGTATGACCACATAATGGAAAAAAAATTCTTTATTATTGAACAAATAAAACAACTAGGCATTGTTGTTAATTAATACAAATAAATAGCTAAAACGTACATAACTTATACAGAAATTAATAATAATAAATTTAATATATTTTATCGAATTTAAAAACAATATTTTTTCAAAATACTGTTATCATTGATATTTTACCACCACGATATATTGAACGATAATTATTTTCTTCTATTTTGGCAAACTGACTTTAGTTCTACTTTTTGCAACACATTAAAACTACCCCCTGATCAAAACAAATAGTATTGTCGTAGAGATAGCCAACATTGATTTTGAACTATACAATATACAAAATAAAGAAACAGTTGAATAATAAGTGTATACTAATGGGCAATTTTATATGCCAAATACAGATCTAAGTCTAACTTTTAGGGTCAAAGCACAGCATATATTGAAATTTAAGTTGCAAAAAAAAATGTAAAATATCAATCTGGCTAACCACAATGCTCCCTTACCCGTAACGCCAAATCATGTTGACAAAAGCGAATTCGGCCAATGAGAGAAATATGAACGCGGTGCACACAATGAACCAGACGTCGTTTGAACGGATGTAAGACACGTTTGGCAAATTAGAACCCGTTTCGGCTCCCAATTGGAAAAACGTGAGCATAGTGCTGGACCCTGTGAATAATGAAAAAAAAAACCCATACATTTTTATATATCTACTTTCCTCTATTAAATACCTTCTGAACAATTGTGTGGTTCGAACGCACCGAGCAACACACGAGGAGGTACCGCGTCCGGAGCCATCCAAAACGAAACCCAAGACAGTATGACCAGAAGCACTCCGGGCAAATAGTAGTCCATAATGTAAAATCCATACTCTCTGGCCAACAGGAATGTCAACGTTAACGACGAATACCGATACGCTGAACAGTTTAAAAAAATAACATGTAAATTTAATTCACAGAAGCGTCATAAAACGGTGGTAGTGAGGTCAGCAATGATGCATAAACTACAATTTTAAATAATGTTAAACGTCTTTCATTGCCGACTAAAAACAAAAGCGTGAGCCCTATTCAACAAAGTCCCTCGTAAATTTATCAGATAATATTTTACACTGTAAGTTTTTTTGTAATTTGGTCCAATATTAGTGTGCGACACATACATTTCATAATACTAAACCCAATGAATTTGGACTTTTACTAACGTGAATTCGGATTAAGGGCGGTGGGTTCAATGTAGTAATCAGCGTCATGTGGTATTATTTTCAGCAGCCTGTATTCGGTCAGGTAAGGCACTCCATCACTGATTGCCACGGTTACCGGGGACACCATTTCCCATTCCAGGATCAACTGTTTGACGTCGTACCTCCCTGTGGGATACAAAATTAAATCAATCTACTACTAATTTACACAGACCAGTGCAACGCAGTGTTGCTCGCAATGATCAATCAATGATTAAAATAAAAGGTTGGTCGGCCAACACTACAATGACAACCGTTCACTTGTTAACGATTTCCACCTAATGATTATTGCGATTCATAATTATTGTTAGCATATAGGTACATGCGATCACATTGATTCTTACAGCTTTCCATGATCAGATGACACTGCTGATGGTCGAACGGGAATCTACCGAGTTTCACCCAACAGAACACGGACGTCTTGAGTCTATCAAAAAAACATTAAATTTTACATTAGCCTTGCCATTTAAGTACCTAGGTAGGACTATTGCCATCTCAGCACAGGTATTGATAAAATATCGCGTTATGTACCTGACCGAGAACATAACGTAGCCGTCGGGCAAAACCGTAATCGAAACGTCGTCGGTAATGTCTGCAACTGTCAGCGAATGCCTTTCGTTCGTTATGTAGATGTTGGGTATCCAAATGCGTCCCAGAAAACCTCTGCGGCTGATCACTTCGGCCACGTCTTTCGAAGTCAAGTAACCGTAGCTTAGTCGAATATCTCGCCATCGGAATTGCACAAGTAGACGCACTTTAAAATCCTTGAATATCAACGTTCAACAGAACCACCATTTGGTATAATTATTACTAAAAGCATTATTGATCATTTGCCCATTTAGACTTGACAGTTGATCGCGATTCATAAAAGCTGCTGGGAACTATACATGATGTTCCAGCATGAAAGGTAAGTAATATGTGATTGGACATCTGGGGGACCCCCAAATAGGCCCCCCGTTTTCATTTTTTCGATAAGTCAAAAATTGAAGATTTCGACAGTAAAGTAAAAAAATAATGACCTAAAAAAACAAAAAATTATTCCATGGTATTCAATGCAAAAAGCTAACCTTAAAAGAGGGGTCACATCATTTTCAGCCCCTAACTCTTCTTTTATCACTTTTCTTATCATTTATTTCTTACCTCTAATCTCTAATCATTTATCTCTTATCACTAATATCTTATTATTTATTTCTTATCTCTTGTTTCTAATTATTTATCACTAACCTCTTATCATTTAGCACCTATCTCTTATCATTTATCTCTAATCTCTCATAATTTATCTCTTTTCTTTTATCTCTTATCAATTATGTCTTAGCATATATCTTTTATCACTTATCATTTATTTCTGGTCTCTAATCATTTTTATCTTATCATTTTTTGAGTTAGGGGCCGAAAGGGCCTGAAAATGATGTGACCCCTCTTTTAAGGTGAGCTTTTTGCACTGAATAACATGAAATAATTTTTTTGTTTTTTAGGTCATTATTTTTTTACTTAACTGTCGAAACCTTTAATTTTTTACTTTTCAAAAAAATTAAAACGGGGGGCTTATTTGGGGGTCCCCCAGATGTCCAATCACCTATTACTTACCTTTTATGCTGGAACACCTTGCATTTGCAAAGACTGTATATCCCCCTTAGGACAATGGAATATTGAGAAGACACTGGGAGGTACTGTGTACTTGAGTACTGCTGGACTGCTCTATGTATGCCGATTGCCGAATGTCCATAATTGGTAAGTACCAGAGGCGCAATTAGCTTCAAGTTGTTGGGACGCTTAAGTCCCAACACTAATTTTAAACTTAATCGCAGGGTTTAATCAGCATCTGAGAGTGTGGGCTTTAGAGGACTAAGGACTAAAAAAAGTTCGAATGATACTCTTTTTTTTTTTAGTAAATTATAGTGACGAAAAATATAGATACCGTAAATATAAAACACTGTGTACTTACTGTATTTCTAGTATAAGCAGATGTCAAATGGTAAACGTGAATCCTAGTGGATATGACGATAGGCAGGTTTTCGGTGGTTTTTTTCGGCGCCGTGGTTTTATCATAACGACACGGATCAGTTAACCACCGAAGTAATTGCTCGGGTGATAAATCGTCGCCGAACAACGTGTCACAACTAACATTAGGCCTATGAAAAACAATGATTCGAAATCTTATCGTTTTATAGTTAATATATATTATGCTAAGTTGTTTTTTGAAAAAAAAGAACATTATAACTACTTTCACACGGGTCTTTCTAGTAGAGTCGAGCATAATTCTAATAATTATTTATCTATAGTTGTAGCAATAAATATTGTTTATTTCATGAATTGTTGTAGACAGTTTTTATGATTCGATACAAAAATATTACTAGATATTAGTAAAAATTAAAATATACTAAAATTATGTTTTTTTTTTTTTTTTTCAAACAAACGCGACACTCACAATACAACCTGAAGGGCGAAGTCTTACCCTCTTCCTTTAAGAACGGTTCTGGGTAAGTGTATGACCTACACTGACAAAAGTGTAATTGAATTTGAGCTTATTATAGTAGAAACTAGAAAATGACCACGATTGTTTATTAGTTTATTATGTTGAAGTAGAATTTTAATGTTTATACAATTTCCCATTAAACAGCCTCTAGTAAGCTACATAGCAAAATGTCGAGTGAGAGACAATATGATGACCGACCCTACTTATTGTTTAATATTAATCAATGTCCTACTGGCCATTAATGGATGGGTTAGTCGGTATTACTAAAACCTATGTATAAATGTAACCTATGTATAAATTACAATGCATTTATACGTGTTGAAGTCCTAATCACCTCACTATTGATTTTTGAGGTATAATTTATTCATAATATTATAACAGGGATAGATAATGTTTATTATTCTGACCATTGGACCGTAATCGATTATATTAGTATAACACCACCTACATAATAGGTAGCTGGCTGATAGCTCAATTTTGTTTTCTATAGTAACTAGATATAAATCAAATCCCCAACCAAAAGTCATTCTTTAGGGTAGTCTAAATAATAGATAACCTGTTGGCCACTGTATAACATAATTCATTCACAAGACATTAATTTTATAGGATTTTCGGTTTTCCTCACTTAATCAGCACCCAGTGCATATTATTACTCTATGATCCAGTGTCAGATATATATATATTTTTTTTTTTTGTAAACCATTGCTTAATATATGTACTTACAAACACGAATTTATGATACTTTTAACGTGTTGTGTAGACAACAAATCATTTTTTTAAAATTATTTTGTATGAGATTTTTAGACGATTTTGTTCTAATAAATTGATAACTGGTCTTAGAATAACAAAAATATGTTTACAATGATTTCAATTAATTTATATTTAAATCACAAAAAAAAAACAGAATATATTTAAATACAAATAAATGTTTGATTACATTATAAAATTTCTTTGATTTTTACATAGGTAAAACTAGTTTAAATTTAGGTGCAGAGCCAGTGAATTTAATGACGACTCATGATCTACACTTTAGTTGCACAACTTATTAGATTAGTTATAGAATTTTAAGATGTCTATTGGAATGAAAGATATTAGGTAAGATATATAATAAAAAGTTGTTTGATTGCATTACAGTTTGTTATGATGTTAACAATGTACAACATGATTTTGGGACAAGAACTAAACTATATACTTATCAAAATTTTTTTCTTTCACAAATTCTCAGAACTTCTCTTGCACGTCTAGTTATTTTTTTTAATTACCTTCAAAGTTGTAAAAACACCAGTTTTGCGGTATTTTGTACGTTTTGAAAATGTTTTCATTTATTCCAAGTATAGATTTGTATTATATTTTCTTTGCCGATTTTAGAACAGATGTTCTTTTTTTTTTTTTACCAACTTTAGGGTTGGAATTTGGGGCATACTCAGGTTCGGCGTAAAGCCAACACACCAGACATTCTATACTATTTTTTTTTTTATAATACAAATACTATTATAACAAGACACACGGATTCGGCAAGGTTACATACGAAAAATTATTTTTGGAACCTTACCAGACACTCGACTATAATATATATATATATATATAATATATATATTTATATTTAACGATATTGTGTTATCGCTCATTTCATAATGCGCATCCTCGCGAATTTAACCACAATAAAGTTGACTATTGTTCTTCGGGTAGTGTTTTATTTATCCAAAAAAATATTATACTAAGTTTACACACGGATAAATCATGTGTTTTGTTGCTGGCATTACCCAAAAGGGTCAAAAAGCACACAAACAGCATAATGGGAAAACAACAAATTCAACCGTATATTTGTGTAAGCGGCGAACGTAGTAAAAACGGTGGAAATTATTATAAAACAAAAAAAATTAGTCACCGATTATTTGTTTTATAAAAAAAACTTAGGTACACATTTTTCAATTGAAAATTACTTATAATATTATATTAATCAACTATAATTATTGCATTAAATATTTTATTGGCGACAGCGTCTAAAAACTATTTCCAACCAAATGACTAAAGTCTGAAAGGTCTATTTAACAGTTTTAGGTCAAAACAATAAAATTAATGTACCTAAATTTATTTTCGCCCACTTCACTTATTTAAAAAACCACATTTTTAACGTTTATAACTTAATTACAACAAGCTCATTTATGTCACAGCGCTCGTATGGAAAACGTTTATGTTAATTTTATTGCCATAAATGACTAATATTATGAGACAGGCCAAGACCAAACTTTCAGGCCTAATGTGTAGAAACAAAATAATTATAATGTGTAAAAGAAAAATGTAAATGGTTGTATAAGTATATTATTTAGAATACAATGCAAACGCATCAGCGCTGTGAACGACCTTAAAGGCGATGCGATTATTTAAATGAAAAAAAATATATATTACATATTATTTACACTACGCTTAGTTGGTAGATAACAATGTATTTAGTCACTGGTATTGTTTGGTCTTTTAGAAACGTTTCTCTATTAATATTATATTTATATTGATTTTCCCTTTGATCCCATTTTGTTTTTTTTTTGTTACTTACTTATTTTTCTCGGCAGAAAAACATGACTATAATATTATTATTTTAAAACGTGGTGAATAATATTATACTTTTTATACATAATTAACACGGTAGTGTCGCGCGACCCGTAATAATTAATACAGTATATTTTATTATACAAATCCAATGACATTGCTTGTCTTTGGAATTGCGCTTTTTTATAATCTTGAGAACCCTTAATATGATAACTGATAGTTTGATAAGTGATAACTGATAAGAACTGACCAATGACCATAATGACTGTCGCAATTAGTATTTGTTTAAACGGTCTCGTTAGTGTGTATGTATTTTCAATACTTGTCATTCTATAGGTTTCGCTTTTGCTTAGCTTACCTAATTTGGCAATTAACACAAATTATTAGTTATTACTGTGTGTGTATATCTGTAATGTTATTAAGCAATGGTCGAAATATTTAGCTGGATAAATAGTACAGCTTTAATAGTTTTTCTAGTTTGAAAAATTATTCCAACTTATCTCTTAAAAAAACTATTTCAAATTCAGCGAAAACCAAAAGAAAAATTAATAGACAAAATTAGAGTCGATTTGTTTTTAGGTACGCTATATTTTATATGTCCAATTAAGTATAAGAAAAATATCAATTCTGAAATAGTCCCATTTGTTTATAATATGTAATAAAATATGTGCAAATTTGGAATCTCGCTAATAAACCAAACTGAAATTTAAATATACATAAAACTATTATTAAATGCAAAATATCATCACCACATTGTTGATGGATATCAAATTAATCGTACCGAGTACCAATTATCAAACTATGGCAGTAAACCTATTTGATTTCATAAACAAAAATCAAAGCAATAATGTCCTAAATATGTTTTCTTTTGGGCGGATAACTAATAATCAAATGCAATAATGCAATAATCAATCTTACTTTGTTGACGACTGTGACGATGGCAGCACAATACAGAAAAAAACGCAGCACAAAAAAAAAACACACGACTCAGTGTAAACCATGTTACATACACAATGCAAATAGCCGTTAGCATGTGGGGGCCTTTCCATTTGGTTAATACACACAATGAATTGCAATATAACGTTTACCATTATAAATTCGTTTGTATTTACTTTGGTTTTGTCACGGCCCGATTATCATCAGGTGTTTATAATAATTGTGGAGACTGCAATAGTTATAATATAGGTAGGCAAAACAAATACAGCCATTTGTCAACTTACTATATGCATGTATACTAATTTTTAATCGCTAGTTTCATACTATATACAGGATGTCATGGAAAGTTCTACCGAGCTTCAAATGAGACATTTAGGATGCTGTATGGGTACAATAAATGGCATTTTTTTTTCAATTTTAAAATTGTTTAACATAGAACTCGTATCTCGTTAAAAAATATTTGCAGATTTGAAATCAGGAGAAAAAATCTTGTTGAATTGATATTTTACATGATTTTTTGGTATCTGGCCACACATGCGTCCACAGGGTGGCCGACATGTGATCAAAGTTAACATATGGCATGCGACACATCATTTTGGGTTAGAATTTTATTTTCAATTCAGTGGTGTCCTTAGAATTATTTTATAAAAAAAATTTATACCATTTAGTGTACCCATAGAGCATTCCTTAATGTCTCATTTGAAGCTCGGTAGAACTTTCCATGACACCCTGTATATATAAAAAAAACATTTTCTCGAGAAGATTGAACAAGAGTAAGCGTTACAAAGAATTTTTTTTTCTTTAGCAGGTAGAATTGTCACTCTACAATAATAATAATGTGTTTTTTTTATTATTATTGTTGTATATTTTTTGTTTTTGTACTAAAAGGTTATAATTACTTTAGTAAAAACATAACATAAAATATTTATATTTGCGGAGCAGACGATTACAACGAGAATAATAATTGTCATTTTGAGTACAATTTTAATTAGCATAATCTAAATGAAAAAAAAAATTACAACAGTCTCGTTCAGTCTTAGGTAAATTATTAAATGCTATTACATGTCTAAAATGTATTAATAGTTAAAAAAAAGTTAAAATCAAATTAAACGTAGTATATTTAATTAAAACGTCGAGTTGGATAAATTTAGCCATATAAAAGTACAAAATTTGTATTGATATTGTGCTTTATCTCGGCATGGTAAATGGATTCCAAAAATGAGCGTCGATGGGATAAAGTATATTATATTATAATATATATGTGTGTGTATACAACACGTATATACATATTATATTTAAATGAAAGTTATTTTATAATTGACAACAAATTTAATAAACAAAAATTAAATATAAGCCGTTTTCGCTTGTACAAAAAGACCACTAACATTTATTAACTAATATTTGAATGCAAAAAAAAAACTACACCTAAGTAAAAAAAAAAAGTCGCACATTATCGTTAAGAGTTTAATGGTTAATGTTGGTGCATCGCTTTCTGCGATGGCATTGAAACAAAAAATGTAATGTCAATTTTGTTTTTTATTTACACCGCTAATAAACGCATAACGTCATGACAATTTTAAACAATCGATATCGCTTGAATGGCAGACACAATTATATTGGTGTAATGATAATTATATCGACTCGATAAGTTTTGACTAACCGAAGCCGGTATATTATAAATCTATATTCGACGACATTTATAATAATTTAAGGACTGCGATAGTGCGATATACATATATTTATACAAATTAAAGAAGGGGAAGGACAAAGGCTAATAATAACACTATAAATTGTTCGTATCTTAGTCGAAACATTTAAGAATATAATATATAACATAGTTTTATACTCTAGAATAGAAAAAAGTATATTAGTAAAAAGAAAAAAAGAAAATATACAACATTCATCGGACACGAAAGACATATAGTTGGAATACATTATCTATGAGTTTTTTAATTTAAAAATAATAATAATAATTAAATTTTCTTTGAGATAATGTTTAATACCATAACAAACAACTAATACTTTTTAATTTTTTTCCTTTTTTTTATGGGGCACAATTAATATATTTAAAAAACTTTTTAGGTACATATTTTTTTTATGTTGCTAGGTTCTTTCTATTTACAAACATTTTATCATTATTATTATCTATAACAATATTCAAAATTATAATATAATACAATACACATTAAATTAGAAATAAATGACAATTTTTAACAGTTACTTACACTCTTAGACCGAGGAACATAATATTAGAAAATATAACCCGATTGATAAAAGGCGACCTCTGCCGACCAACATTTTATGACGAGACTTTTTTCTTATTGTTTGTTTTATATATATATATATATATTTTTTTATAGCCAAATTAAAATTAAAAAAAGTGTGAAGACGAGCCAGTTATTGTTGACTAGACTATGGTTCAGGATAGATTTTTAAGCACATTATATATAGAAAAATATATAATAATAATAATAATAGAATTAAAAAAAAACACATGACTAGAAACATTGTCATAGTTTGAATTATTATAGATAGTAGTCAAAAAGTACAAAAAAAAAAAAAAAATGTATGCGTGAAATGTGTACATAAATAAAATTGTGTTAAAATTTGAAGAGGCAAAAAAAAAAAATAGTGTAACGTTGATCCAAATCTACACGATAAACTATTGTCGTTAGAAAAGAAAGACAAAAAGGAAGCGTACGGTATACCAAAGAGTGTAGTTATGGGAAAAAACTGTGCTTAACATCTGAACCCCTCTTGTTTCTCAATATAATCTATACTCGAATTCCAAATTAACACAAACTGAAAAATGACAATGTTGGCTTAAGAAATATATAATCGACTGATAATTAAAGTTTTACAGTTCTGTAATCTGATAGGAAGTTTCAGGTACAGTGGTCGGTCTCGCAAATGTCGACAGGGAACTCCCGCTGATCGTCGATATCGGTGTATGATCAACAGAGGTCGGCTCGTTTCAGTAAAAGTCCGAAGACTCTAGTGTTTTGCACTTACGGCTTAAAGTCGAATATTGACGGTCCGCCGGCTGGTTGTTTTTGCGCATGTAACCCAATGTGTTCGAGTACGACGATGCACCGGCAGAGCCTCGGAATGAAGGAGGTGGAAGCGGCACGCCGCGAACACCTGGATGCTCGAGCGTACGGAATTTCCTGTTCAGAGTAGCGTACTGAGGGCCGACTTTGGACGATCCGCCTTCGTGCGTGTAACCTCCACTGCGGCCGTTCAATGTCGATATGCCGCTGCCCATTCCATATTCATCTCTCGGTCTGAAAAAACAATGTAGACAAAAAAAAACTGTTAGTATAAGCGTCGCGTTAATTTCAATCAAATCCTGTTTTAATGAAAAACATACATCTATTGATGATATAAAATTACAATGAACAGTAAAATGGCATTACAAAATACATTTATTGTCACGGAGGTGGAATTTAATTTCGAGCTAAACGTTTATGTTCAACCGCAACGCAAAGACTTATGGAATAAATGCCACTGAATTAAAAAATTTCCAAAAACCTTACAGCAGTATTAAGAAGTATAAAGTCGATTAGAATTTGTAAGACGATAAGATCATTGAAAAAAAAACAAGCTTAGATAAAAATGTGTTATTAGGTAATACACTGAAGGAATTAGTTTAATAAAATTTCTGATAGCTTTTCTTCAATTCCCAATTTTCTACAGACATCAGTCAGTTAGAAATAAATGAAACTTTAATTAGAAATAACAAAACACAGTAAAAGGAAGACTTGTTAAAAAAAAATGTAAATTAAACAGAGTATAATGTATTAGTATTGAGTAAAATCAATTTGATTATTTTTTAAAAAAATATTATAGTAAATACATATTTATCAAGCTAGTCTTTGAATAAGCGTTTTGGTTGTAATTGTAAAAAAAAAACAAATCACATTCTAGTAGAATCTCGGTAACTCGAATCGGGCTTGAAAATTTAGAAATTTTAAGTTTAAGCAAATTCCTTATTAAATATTACTTATTTTAATTTGCCTTCGATTTTTGAGTTAACAAAACTCAACCAAATTATTATTATCATTAACAATATAATGTATATGTTCGCTATGCCTAAAAGCCACAAAATTTGCATTCATAGTAATAATTATAATTGTAAAATAATATTCCTATCCCAGCAACACTTCAAAACAAGACAATTTCATAACACAAAACATACGTGCATGCAAAATTACAATAAATTAAGATTATTTTTTTTTTAGTGGTTTAACACAACTATTAATTACAAAACACAACACAGTTATTGCAAAAAGCCATGCACCGTTAAAATAATTATTCGTACAAGACAATCGCAGTTATTTTTTTAGAACAGTTAGTTAAAACGTTGAAAATTAAGTGCAAACAAACAAAAGATGAAAATTTAAAATTACAGGCTGTTGGAATATTTAAAATTGTAGAAAAATAGAGTACAACATAATATGAAACGCATTCTTTTAATTTTATAAATTTTTCATAACGGACGTCAGCAACAGATTTGTTTTCTTTTAAACAAAAAATATACTCGACTCTAATTTTTTTTTTTTTTTTAATATAGAAAGAAGTCGCGCCTAAGTTGGACCGAACAACGATTAAGAAAATAATAAAATACGAAAAAAATAATCAAACAAAAAAAAAAACACAAACAGTCATGCTGGGCGGTTTTGAGCGTGCTGAGCAGGCGTCGGATGCGAAATAAACAACGGGTAGTAGTACAACCCTTGGTTTCGTGTCAATGTCGACATTTGATGGCCATGGGACTGCGAGCTACTGGCTGTTGAACCCGGCCGTCCTAAGAATGGATCTCTCTCTTCGGCTTTGATGTAGTCTTGCCTGTTAAACACACATTATTGTAGTGACAATAACGTTTAAGCCTCGATCACAATATTGTCCAAGTAAAGATCAACTTACTTCTTCCTAATGTAAATCCAAGTGTGAAAATCTAACCAAACGAGAATCGTAAAGAACAGTCCGGACACGATACTCGCCAACAACATCAATGCCAATCCAAATCTAAAACGACAATTACTAATTACCAATCTATAATTATAACGATAATTATTAAACAAAATGCAAAGTTCTTACAAAGCGAGATCACAAGACGCGTGTAAAGCCCGGTTGTACTGCACGTGTATTTGTCGACACTCGAGCGATGCTGGTAGGGCAGACACCATTCTGGCGGCAGACTCGACGTCCATTCTCATTCTGTTCAACAACATTGGCATGTCTTCGTTTGTATTCGACGGTGGATACAATGTTTTTGCGAGACGCGTGACCGTATCCAATTGCAAATTGGTGGCGTCTACCGCTTGCGACGCTTGGCGTATGGCCACCCCAAAAGGATTAGAGCGCGTGGTACCAGTCGGATTATTACTACCTTCGCACATTGTGTAGAAGGACAGCATGTCCGGGCGCAAAGACGTTGGCGCCCAATCATGTTCCAACCATTCGTTTGGATTAACACAAAAATCGCCAAGTGCCTAAAACAAACAGAATTGCTTAGATAGGTCATACAAATTTAGTCTTCATGTACTTACAACGGCAGCAGTAAGATAAATGGACGCGGTCAGCCAAGATATTATAACGGCAAAAAGTCCGAAAACCGAAAACCTATAAAAAATGACAAATCAGTTAAATGCACTGACTAAAAAATTACGCTAACATGATACACTTACATGATTAAAGCACAACGTGAATGTCTAGCGACTCCAAACAAAAGTATGACGCAAAATACCAATAAAATGCTAAGAACTCCCATGGTCAACGGCCATCTAAGAGAACAAACATAACGCAGATTAAATCAAGCACGCGCTTGGCCGAAGCCTAAATATTTTAAGTTTCAATTATTTTCATACACCGTTTACCTTATGGTTTCCATCAGGTACACGTCGTTGACGAACGGAGTGAGATTGACGCCGCGTAAAGAATTGCTAATTCCACGAATGTTAGACAAAGTCGCCGCTGCATTGCCGACTAGTGTGCTCAATGCGTTGACTATTTGTCCTCGAGCTGTTAAATTGGCGACGGGGGAATCTATGATGTCGCCAATATTGGTGAGCTTGTCGTGAATGTTCACTTGTAGTAATACTTCTATTGAAGACGTCTGAAATGTAACACAAAAGTGCTGTAATAAACATTTGTTTAAATTGTCGTCAAACTAAACTTTGTTTTACCTGATTTTTGACGTTTATAACCAAGTCGTCTAGAGCTCTGGCCGACGTAACGAATTGAGCAACTCCGTTATGCAGGTCATCGTTGCCATACAAACTAACGCCAACAGCGGCACTATAAAAACAGAATACACGTTGAACGTATTACATGTTATATTATCAATTAAGAAGTAATAATTGTATATTTACCACGATAAAACGGTAAATATTGCTAGGGTCCATTTGAGCACGACAATACTATGTCTAGGTCGAGGTTTTCGATCACAACATCTTGTCATCAGGTAAATTAACAGCAAAAACAATGTGATTATCAGCCATACTGAAGGAACTGATCCCAAAATTCCAAGCGACTGAAAAAAAAGTGATCGTAGATATACTTTGTTTCTTAAGACAATAAAATAATAACTTTTAATAAATAAAACTTTTAACATGTAGCATAATTTTTATATAAAACATTTAAACTGATATGTTAAGCAAAACGAGTCATGATAAAGCCACAGCAGTCAACGATGTTAGGTACAACTTACTTCTATGTAGAGTTCACTGCGTGGTGCAAACACAGAATTAACGTGGTGGCCGGTGACGTTCAAATGCGGAAACGAATGAAATATGTGCGCCAATGCTGGCGTTTTGTAGGTGACAACATTCTCTTGTAACATTCTGGCCATTTTTGTTTTTTTTTTACTTAATGTTTGTATCGCTATTGACGCAAATGTAACATAAGCTTATGTTTTTTCTACATTTTTTTTATCTGAAAACAAAATTGATAATACGTGTTAAATAATAATCATATAACATATATATTTTTTTTTTAATTGATAAAACCAATTGTATACCTAACCTATTTTTTAAAGAACAGTAGTTAGTTATTGTTTATTCAATTTTATTTTTATATAATTTTGCTTCACCAAATGTTACAGGACAGTAATCAAAAGAAATGCAGAAGAGACGGTTAGTTGTGATAAAGGACGTCGAACGTGTGCTTAAAAGGCGTGACAGATTGTCTTAGCAAAAATTGAGGATAGGATGGTCGATACCGAAATCGCTAAGATAAAAAGCGAAAAAAGATATCGATGAACATACTTAAACACATAATTAATACGTTTGGTTTAAATATACATTTTTTTCTTCAATTATTAAGGCAATAATTTAAGTGAAAAGTAATTTGTTTGCGACTTAAATACTACCCATGTTATTGGTGAGCGCTGAAGTTTAGGAGAGTTAATCGGTTTCATTATAACATATTAATTGGTTGTTTGTTTGTATAAAAGTTAATCAATGAAATTTGGTTTTGTAATATTATATCAAGGCCGTTATCGTAACCAAACAAGCTATCTTTTGCTTACTCTGACATTTACTAAGCGTATGACTAAATTCAATCATATTTGTCACCGAACGCAAGATAAAATTAGTTTTTATTTAGAGCATAACATATTGTTACTTAATCATTTTATTTTAAATGCATTTTTACTTGGAATTTAAAATAATATTTTATTTAAATTCCGAGGCTGCCTTTATTTTATTTTTATTTGTTGCCCGACTAACAAGTGATAACACAAGTCAAGGAAACACGAGTAACCAGAACAACATAATAATATGTTTTAAATTCTCAAAAATATATTATTGCTTCAGAATCCAACGATATAAAACATAAATTAGAAACAAGTCGTAGCAAAAAAAAAAACTATAAAAATCACCAATGTTATAATTTAAATTACTGTTATTATTGTTTAAAGTTAACAATAATTATTATCAATGTAAAAAAAAAATAAAACTGATGTATCTACGAGATACATAATCATTTTTTACAGATTTATTTCTTTGTTTTCGAATACTTACACAAACATAAGAATTACAAATATGTTATGAATTTGATGATGAATAGATAACAAATATGAAAAAAAAAACTGCTTGAATGAACGGCTTGATTTACTACACGAGACTTGCTATAGTAATGGTTAAACTGTGATTAAGGAGAACACATCAATTGGCTGATAAGCATTTGAAAATTACATTGACATTTAAAATATATACATTGACATACTAAATATTCTGTCAAATTATAGATAAGTAGCGGCAGGTAACCCATTCAAAAGCTGGTCTGGAGGTACTAGAAAATAATTTATCTCTTGTCTGCTTTTAGTGCTCACACAAAGAGAACTAAAAAACACATATGTTGTAATATTATCCGAATAAATCAGATATTTTTTTTTCTGCTTGAGTAAGATTTTTACAGAATTAGATAGGATCTGAGCATAATTATGTTATTTGCTTTAGTTCAACGGCTGACGTCATACATTTGACAATAATCGTTAGTGCCTTTTTTTTTTAAATGATTACTATAAAAGTTAATATAGGTACTTAAAAAAACCCTAAATAGCGTTAAGTAATTTTACTTTTATTAGTTTTTTCCGTTTGATAAATCGATAAGTACAAAGCGAGCCGATGGTGTTATTTACAGCGATACGTCAGACGATTCGTAATTATAATAATTGTTAAGAGACAATTGAAAAATAATAATAATAACAATTATTGTTTTGTTTTTTTTTTTTTTTTTTTTAATGATTATTATAATGTTTATCGGTAAAAAAAAAAAGCGATTAGATATCGAACAACATAACAACCGACCTGATGCGGTCAACAACAACGATGATTGAAATGCATCGACTTACCGCATTGAAGTGGTGTGCCGCGATGGTGGTGTCCACTGTCTAGGTGGTAAGTCTGCAAAAGTCGTCCCGGGCGTCTGGTAAGCCGCGCCGGCGGTGTCCGTCCACAACGGGAATACTCTAGGGGTGCGCGCTCGATGCACACACTACGGGACAGACGTCAAGAACACGACGACAGTACCATTTGCAATACCGGGTTTGACAAAATTAAAATATACCAATCGTTTTCGGCCGCAGCAGCGTTCACACCGCCTACGCGTTTACACCGCAAGTCAGGAACAACACCGCTGACGGATAACAACACGCCGCAAACAATTACCGCGATACGATAACGGGATACTAATAATAACAATAATAATTGTGACGGCGAAACGTACAAAACGAACAACGCAACCGGGCGGTGTACGCACGACCACAACGGCACTACGAGACCAGTCCCGGAAATGTCAATTGTCGCGGTGTGACGCCATTTTAGAAAATCATTACAGGCTCGCTAGTCGTGGGGGCGCTGCTACCTACGGGCCGCCGCCGGTGGCTGGTGCTGCTGTTTCTGCCGCCAGTCGCTGCTGCTGCTGCAGCTGATCGCAGATCCGGCCGGCGACAACGTCTATACATAGTGCCTGTTTCCACAGGGTCTACGCCCCAAAAACAGTTTGGGTGAACGCGCGCACGCGCCCCCTCGGCCGCGCGCGCCGAAAATACCCATACGCTCGTGCACACTGCACACATGCCGCACCCGGCACCCCGACAATGGGCGCCGTGCGATGTTCCCGTTCCCATAATATTTTTAAAATGGAACGGCGATTCCTATTTCGAAAAAACGGGAAGCATCGAGGATATCGGGCCGGGGCGCTAGACAGTAATAATTCAGCCTTTATCATCACTTTTGAGTCAATTTTTTTTTAGTTCCAATCTGAAACGCTTTTTGAAAATGACCTTTTTTAGATTCAAAATGTTATGTTATATTATGTAATATACAATATACATGATACAGGCCCAATTAGGGACACCCGGATCACCCAGGGCGTCGATACTCTGCCTAAGCGTTTATCAAATATTTTAATTGTTTAAAGATTCGTATCTCGGAAACGGTTTTTAAGGTACAAAAAAATAATAAAATGACCGATAGGATACTAGTTGGTTGCCTCACGTCGGTTGTGGTGTTTTAAATATACTCAATTTGGAAGGGTTCGAGGTCAGCAGTATCGCAAGAAAGATCACAAGAATGTCGAGTTGTAGATGTTTGTGTAGACTCGGTTGGGGGTGTTGTATTGTTTGAACGGCTCGAACATTTTTGACCATCGGTTTCAGATAAAATAAAAAAATCATGCCTTAAATGTAAATCTTGAACAATATCCCGGATTCCAAATTCCACATTGGCAAGAAGTGGACACAGCAGTCCACAAAGCGTAATAGACAAAAATCAAACAAAATAAAATACAGAGAACCGTGTCAAGTTAATCTGGCAATGACTGATGTACCTAGGTGTTTTATATTATGTTTATTTTTCAAAATTCTTTTTCATGTTTGTGTACTGTTTTCGTCAATAAGAATAATATAGGCTTCAGGCGTTATTTTAAGGGGCAAAAACGACAAATATGAACGAACTTTTGTGTTTTGGAGCACCCCTCCTTTTCGCGAAACTCTTTGAAAGTTAACTCGCATGACTGTTACAATAAAGGGAATGTTTGAGAATTTTTTTAGTATCTTCGGCCATCAAAAAATTTATTACAAACCAGTTTCTCATGTAAAGTAATCTCAGCTCACTGAAAAAAAATTGATTTGTTTTTCGAGTAACAGAATGTCATTAAAATTGAGTTGAAAATCTAAAAAGTTAAGTTTCTCATCACTCGTGTTGGTGCCCAAAATTTGAGAATTTTTTTAATATTTTTTTAGAAAGCTGAGAAAATTTTACATAAGTGTTAATTTCAAATTAGGTCCCATTTTTATATGAACAACGTACCAACCTAATAATATGTAGTAATTTCTACAAAATGGTGTATATTTTTTTTTTTTAACTTCATATTTATAACTGCAAGGAATTAGTTTTATTTTATTTTTTATAATAATTCTTTCTTTCATTTAACACATAAAAATATTTTTTATCATTCGATTTTCTTCATAAACTGTTTAAAGGGAATTTTAGATCATTAAACAAGTCTTCCTAAAGTGTAACGGTAGGTAGGTAAATATAATTAACAATAATATTAATTTTTTAAATGTAAATTTATCAAATAATAAAACGAAAATCATGTTTTCATTATTTGAAATCACATCCTAACATCCTAACGTAACCAGTCGGTTTAAAATAAAATATATGTGCAATTAGAAACAAATCTTTTTAGAAAAGCCTGATAGGCTTATGCCAAAATACATACAATATTAATTAATAATTATCATATTGACGATTTGCTAAGGGGAAGGCCAAAGGGTGCAAAATTAGATATTAAAACTTAAAATTTTGCCAATTAAAAAAGCAATCTAGAAAATAGATTTTTTTAATGGTATCTATTGACAAATGATTACCTAAGATAAAAAAAAAATCATTTGAATAAAATACACTAATGTATTAACTTGTAGTCGGTTATTATTTTTTAATCACACCTCCTCGATTGAAAAACTGAAGATTTCATTTTAACAGTGAATCAACTAATTTCAATTAAAATGTTAATAACAAAAATATGTATAACTGAACTTTTTTTTTAATATTTGTAAAAAACACACGCCAATCAAATCAGACGTGCATAAAACAATACAACAAATTTATTTTGAAATTCATAACAGTCCATAGATTCTCTTGTAAATACAATTTATTTATTTTGAATAAAGAACCATTAATGAAGAATTTTAATAGTTTTTCAATTTTTATTCCATTAAAATGTATATATATATATATATTTATAAATATTAAAAAAAAAAACATTTACGATAAAAATGTATTTATTTTTATTTTACCATAAATTCTCAGCGTTAAATACGAAAAATGTATTACTACGGTTTAATTTAGTTATTAGTATTCATTGCTTTGGTCATATACAATTTAGCTAGAGACTGTGTGGAGAATTTAGCGATTTCTTCAGCATAAGTATCCACTTGTGTAGCCATTAACATGGGCGGTAACCTCGGAGGTACTGGCAATGCTCTGAATATCTTGCTAATATCTTCTTCGGGTAAGGGTGGCTCCTCCTTGGCTGCTCGAGCTTGGTTTTCTAAAGCCTAAAACAGAGTTAAAAAGTTAATATCACGTAAATGCAAATATTGCACAACATCAAGACATTACTCGTTTTTGTAAATAGCGATGTTTCTCTTGAGACTGGCGAACAACGGCTTGTTGAAAACGATTAAATTTAATAGCTTCTTGGTTAAGATCGTCGACTCGATCCATTAAGTTACGAAGTTGTCCTTCCAAAACAGTTCTACAGCAAAAATCGTAACGACAAATTCAAATTTCATTGAATAAAATACAAATTTTAATAAGAAAACAAAACTTACGCTGTACCAATATCCAAATGTTCAGAATCCTGATCGACCTTGATTTTGAAACTCAGCTCAGAGAGAAGAATATTTGTCAGCGTAGAATTCTTTATCACAACGGGTACTTTCACTAGTAAGTTATCGTAACCGACTTTCAACGATTTCAATGTATCTGGCAAGAAATCGTTTTCCTTAAACATGGTCAACGCTTGTGGTGTAAGACGATAAGCACTAAGTGACAAAAAACCGCGGTTTGTTTTCGGAGCATCTGTAAACAAAAACAATTTTTAAGCTCTTTTGTTTTTTTTAATAATTTTATTTTACCATTGGGTCAATAACTATAACATTTTGGTCGGCATTTAAGGTTATTTTTAGTATCAGATTTGAGTATACAGTAGTTTCTAGAACAGCTAATAAAAACATTAAAATGTTGTAAATAACTAAGCTGCTGAAATGAAGTGTAATAAGTCGTAAAAGATAGTCCTGTATGGTTGTTGCGGCACCATCAGTAAACTATAGACTTGTAACATCAGTAATTGCAAACAGGAGCAAAATTAGTTCATTTAAAAAGTTGTACAAGTTTTTCTCACCGAAAATAAGCACAACGGATTCCTCGATGCTGGTTTGATAGTGAAATTGTGACTCCAATAATGGCAAGCTCAAAAAATTACCTACGTCAGAACTCTGATACCATCCAACATGGTAATGATCAACATTGACTTGACGGAGACTTTTCATCATGTCCAATTGATACTTTTCTGAAAAAACATTAGTACAATTAGATCATTATTAAATTATTTATCACAGAATCTAGATAAAAATCAACTAAATGCAACTTCATTTTCATGAACAAATATGAGACTATACAAGATAAGAACATAATATAAAAAAATATAGCATATTACAATAAGTATTGTGTAAATCTTTATAATTAGTTATATAATACTTTACCATCATTGATAGATTCATCTACGCTTTTGGGAAAAGCAAAACAGTTGGTTATCTCGAGACAGTCGTCGACAACCAAACCCAAAAGCGCTCCTTGGGCAATAATTATATCGCTCGCACATTCTTCGTGACAGTGTTTAGCGATTTTCATTAAAGCCTGACAACAGAATAGTACGGATTTCAATAAAACGTGTATTAGGTACTGATTAACGGTAGAACAAAAAAAGTAAACTTACAAGGCCTTCGACTTGAACATATTTAACGGTGGAATACGACTCTTTGGGTTTCGGATCTAATCGTCTTGAAGCCATAATTGATGCAGTTTGAAATTTATGAAATATTATTACAACAAAATAAAAGTATAAATAGGTTTTTTATTCCAATAAAAAACTAGTATTATAATAGGAAAAAAATGGAAAAATTACTATACACTAAGCAATAGTTGATAAAAAACAAGAGTATGGTTTGGTTTGTTTCCCACACTACGGTGGGCCGGCCGTCGCATCACGCGTGATTTTTGCCACGTTAGGTATGAAGTTAGCGACGTTGAACACGCGGTTACAATGTGGTATCGTACGGTTAAAAACGGTATAAGCCAGGTATAAACCAGATAAACGATAAGAGATAACAAAATGGCCGTGCGTTCGATATGCGATAAAAGTGATAAAACTATGAAAATTTGTTTTCTTTAAAATATCCCTCTATAAAAATATGCGAAAATTCACAACTCATTTTGTGATTTTTTTCGTATTCACAGATTTTAATGTAAATCCCTCTCTTAATCCATAGCCTATTCTAATAGGTAATCTCTAAAATTGTAGATCTCTAGCACAACGAGAACTTCCGTGATTGAAATGCGGTCTCGATACACCACAATGATCTTGTGATAAAAAATATGATTTTAATGCATGCAAAATTTGCAAAATTCTGTTAATTTCTGGAAACAAATTTTGTCATTAATAATAAAAGTACTTATTTATTACATCAAGGTTATATTTTATTATAGGGCAATAGTATTTTCGAACACCACAATAATATGATCATTTACAAATTACACATCTTATGTATATTCTTATCAGCACTTCTACAAATTATTTTTAAGAAAAACTAAATCATAATATTTATAAATTATATAATATCTAAAGATATTAAATTAACTTTTGACAGACGTTTAGTAGGTACAAACGTTTCAAAACATTGATATGTATTTTGAATCAGCTTTATAGTTTTTTTATTTCGGAAAATAAAAATACAGTGTATACAATAATATGTCAATATAATGTCATTTCTAAATCATTCGACCTAAAAAAACATTTTAAATATTGTATAGACCCAGGCACTGGTTAATTTTGTTAACAACTTGTTATAAGCTATATAGTGGAGAAAAAATGTATGTTATTTATATTATAGAACAATACGTTAAGTACCGTTGATAAATAATATTAAATAAATGGCAAATCAGGCAATAAAACTTTATGTTAAATATAATAATAATATGGTTTAATTGAATTCTAGCTGATATTTATTAACGTTAATCTGATATTTCTTCTTCGGAGGAGAGTTCACCTTCAATTATTTTCTGACTTGCCATTTGTTTTGAATTTATAGCTTTAATCTGTTCCATAAACTCTCCATGATTCAATTTTGGGCCAGTAGCAATGATTCCGTGTTTGTTTAAAGGATCAATTTTGTTGTTATAGCTGTAACAATATTTATCGCCATATCTGTCTGTTAATTGGCCACCTGCTGCTCTTAGCACAGCTTCTGGTGCTGCTGTGTCCCATCGATTACTTATAGAAGTAGGATGAACATATGCTATCGCTTTTCCATCCAAAATATAAACAACCTAGAAGTCGATTATCAGTGTAATTGATATATTTAATAAGTAAAAATCATACGCTCATACCTTGTAACCAACTCCTATGGCATTCTCGATAACACACGGTTTTTCTAGACTATCTAAAAACGTTGCAAGTTCGGTACTATAAACACTGCTAGTGGTCACGTACACTGTCTTGGTGGGTGGTTCTTGTAATTCAAAACCTCCAAATCCATAGCCAACCAATCCCCATAGTGTTCGACGTTCTATGTGATATGGTTGGTGGATTACACCGGCTATTGCCTCTTCATCCACACAAATTCCAATTAATACAGTCACATGATCTATGTGGCCTAAAAAAATTGCAATAAAATAATATCGTCCATATTCAGCTTAACTATATACAAATTACCATGGGTATACCCTGAAGTTCCATCCAGCGGATCAATCCAAAATGTTACCTGAAATGGCGAGAACAATGGTAGAAAACAAAAACCAACGTAGTAAGTCGTTTATTTTCGGTAATAATTATATGTTAACATGCAATTGATCGATTTTGGTTTAAATTTTTAGCCGTTTTGATTTTTTAGGCATAACGAAAGCATTTATAAAATGTTTAACAAAACTTACTTGCTCTTCTGTGATATTCCTTAATTCTTGTGGACATTCTAATTCCATAATTGTCGAATCAAGTTCAGTTACCAACCATTCGTCGGGAACATTTGTGTCCAAACTTTCTTCATCAGTTTCTTCTGCGGCTACGTTGATGTTCGGAAAATGTCTTTTAATAGATGCTAATATAGATCTCTGAGCTGATCTATCAGCTATAGTTTGAGGATCATTTTCTTTCTGAAAAGCATTTCAAGTACAAATAATAATGTTAGCGAATATATTTTTTTTTTAATATATAAAATGTAATACCTACCTTATAAACTACTTGCATCTTGCCATTCAGCGTTATATCTCGGATAATTTCGCCAGCTCTACGTGCCATTGCTACGGATAATGCTAACAATTGAATCATCAAGGGCTTTTGCTCTGGTGCCACGACAGTTTTGGGCATCGATTGTGGCTGTTTATTGAGAGTTAAAAGTATAGGTAATATTTGGAAAAAAATCTTGTAGTAATATTATTTTTACTTTTCAAACACATAACTGTATAAGACTAATAAGACAGTTTAATATTAAAAAAATGAATACAAACGATCAGTCCTACAAAGAGTAATCGGTTTTTGATAATTTTTTTCCAATAAAAACTTTTTACGTGTTGCACAGATCTTCCATTTTCAACTACCATAAGCTTAAGTATTTAAGGAGATATTGTTTACAATGATTGAAAAAAAAAAATTTGTAGATCTATCGCAGCTGTAAGACATTTTTTTCTCTTAAATATTATTTAAACTAATAAATTCATTACTGTATCTAATATTTCTTCTTCGGTGGACATTTCCCCTTCAAGTTGTTGTAGTTTTGACGTACTTTCCGTACAGATGATTTTTATTACATAAAAATAAAATAAACATAACAGAATTGTATACTTGAAATACATTTTTTCTCTACAAAAATTGATATCTTCAAACTATGCCGTTGACTAGTAAAATAAAAATAATTTAAAATTTTTTAGCAGCAGTCTTATACGATTCACAGTAATCAAACAAAATTATTTGTTTAAGGAATTCGGATTGTGTTTTTTGTAAATAATATATAACTCTAAATCATAAAACCAAATGTTTTTTACCGTTTTCAAAGCGTAGACCAAAGATATTATTGTACTAGTGTTGTAACGGTGTATTTTTTCGTTTTTAATTTATTTCATATAACATTGGTAAAACAATGTTAAACATATGTAACATGAACTATAAGCAGATTAAAATTCTATTTATTCTATTTATAGATTTGGAATCTATAAATTCTTCTTATCATAAGAGATTTAAATACAGCGCCAAGTCCAAAGCTTACTATTAAGGGCTCAATTTTTTTACAGTATCCTAAGCTACTCGACCCTAATTTTTTTTTCAAATTTCAAAAGCTTATCTTAAGAGCAACAGAGGTGTGTGGGTTGGAAAAACTAGGAGAATTAGTTTGTGCAAAGATACACTGGCATTGCTGGCGTACCGCCGTGCCCTCAGATTAAATCCGACATTTTGGTAGTATTTTATTTATACACTTGGTTTATGTATCACTACTTTACTTATAAACTTTAAATATTAATAAAAAGTAAAATCATAATAGTATTTATTTGCACGTAATGTAAAAATACTAATATTTAATATTTTAAATAATATTTCAATCAAATCGTTTAAACTTGGTAAAATTATAAATCGTTAGAACTCCATAATATATCTATGAGGACAACACTTTAGTTGGTTGTCAAATGTCGATTTTCTATATTCACTCAATACATATTATATTTAAAAATGAATAATAAACATCTAATTTAAAAACATGTCGTTCAATAACTTGGTAACATTTTTAACATTGTACCCGGTGTACTTAAATATATAATTTAATAACTCTTATTCGGTAAGTAGTAATCATTTCAAATTTCGACCGTCTATTTGTTTTTGTATGAAAACGTCTGCCAGTATTTTTTTCATAAGACTATTCGTACAGAATACTATATTTACAAATGCGTTTGACGTTTAATTATTATTACTTTTATCATGATCGCTTGTACACAATATGCAAATCCTTCGGATATGATTACATTATGATGGTCTGATACAATACCTATACAATTTTATACAACATTTTTTTTTTTTTTTAATAGTTTTTCCTATTTGACAATTAATAATAACTGAATATAAAATAATCAGACATTTGACTTTCATTTTTGCGCCTCTAGTTCAAAACTTTAAACTGTAAAACCTAAAAAAAATGGATATTTATCGAAATTCTCAATAGCTTACAAGTTATAACAGATAAATTATTTTTATGCTGTGTATTGACTGGTTTAATATTGAATTACATAATAACTGACCTACCAAAAAAAGTTGGTCTAGACAAGTCAGTTTTTATGTATTGTGAGTAGCCCAATCCGAGATCGAAAAGCCGAAGTTGGACCTTGTTTTTCCCCTAAACTAAAAAAAATTAAAAACCAAAAAACGAGCCAAGTAGAATTAAATTATAAAATCGTCCTTATGTGTTCATGTACTGAGAAGTAATCTCTGTCAGATGGCAACCATTGTCCATTAATACAAATCAGATCGCTAAGTACCTATACTTAGTGGTGAATAATTTAAAAAAAATAGAATTCGACCTCGGATTCGGATTCACTAACATACCTACGTATAAAATGCCTATTCTGGTCCGTCATATAACGTACTTTAGTAAACTTGTATAAACAAACTGTAGTATGTTCGTATTGTAGTTATTTTTTCGTTTTCTCTATATATTTCTATACAATTATTTTTTCATAGAACAACTTTTGTATTTATTAAATATTTTTGTACTTTGTTACTCTGTAAACACTGCTACAGAGCATAAACACTTTTGCTATTTTAAAAATGTATCAACATCCGAATACTCTGCTAGGCATCTTGGCTTTAATAAAATACTATTAATGAAAAATGTACATTTTGAGACAAAGGGAATTTTCCATTATTTTACCAAATTTTCGGTTCTATTTGGGTTAAATAAAAAAAAATGTATATAAATAATGACCAACCTGATGTCTTACAAATAATAGTAGCTAATTAATTTAATACCAGAAAATATTTTCAATGACTAGTACAAACTTATTTTAACTGACGTTCAACATAGAAGTATTACACTATTGTTATTAAACTGTTTACAAAACCTTATTTTCACCCCGCGCTACCCCTAATATCCAATAAAATGCGTTTATCTTGACAAACGATAACTCAAAACTCAAAGTATTGTTTTTATTAGAAAATTAGTCGAATAACATAAGAATTTTTAAGCTTGTTTGGTATTGTTAATTGAATTTTCTTTCTTTAATTTTGTGTGTATTTTTGGCACTTAAGGTCTGAAAATAAAACTATAGGTAGATTTAAAGTAGTTCTATACCCTTTATAATTACATCAAAAATCTGAAAACCAGAAAAAAAGAATAAAAATCACAGTTGCGTCGTTTAACATTTTTTACATTTGCACGTGGCTTTGAGTGAATAAATCAAAGTTAACAAGTATTTTTGTTGTATTATTGATTATGATTCATGGGTAACAATAGCATCGAATTAATATTTAATAGTATCAATTTGGTTGTCATAATACATTTTTACAATTTATATCTTCATAGAAGGTGGTATGGCTGTCAGAGTTTACGATAGGACTTGGATTTAATAAATATTATTAGAAACAACTAAATTTAAAACAATTTTATTTTTGTTCTCTGAAGTTAATGTAATAAGAAAATATTTTACAGTTAAAACATTCAAAAACGTTTGTAGGGGACTAATATATAAAATATGCGAGGGTAGTATTTACAGTAACCGTATAACACTTTTACAATTGGATAGAGAAGAAGTTTTTGTTTTTTGATAACTTAAACACATTCAAAATGGGACCTAAGGACTTCTAAGTACTTTCTCGAAAATCTATAGCCGTATTGCACATAGTTACAAGAAAATGTATATTTTTATTATCTCGTTGATCATATCACAGAATAACAGAATATTCTGTGATCACATTAAATGGATAACAACGGTAAACAAATATTGTAGAACGACATCATACCCACCCTCATTAAAAAAAAATCTATCTTAATAAAAATCCAGTAAGACTGTTAGTGAGAGTAATGAAATTCAATAAAAGGATTTCAACAAGGTCAAACCAGCAAATAAATTAGCATTAAACAAAATATAATACAGAAATAGTAGGTAGTTATTATAGCATTTTAAAAAGTACATCATAAAAATACTTGTGTACAACATACATAATAATAATAGTAAGGTATATTACAAAATATTTAGATGCCCTAATAGAAGCTAACTTTGCAAAAGTATGTTTTTGTATAGTATCGACTCCAAAATGTTTCATAGATAATATCAGTCCATTCCAATGGACAAATCCTACATTTTGTGTAAAGAGGTCGTTGGATTACAAAAAGTATAAAAAATATATGTAAGATAAATTAAAATGTTTTAAAATATCTATTTCTAACAACTTTTAACCTACCTACTAAAATAATTCTAAAAATCCTATTTACGCCGAAGCTATTAGCTAAAGATATCATAATATTAGGTTTTCATAAACCTCGTGTACTGGACATACAACATTTAGCAATATTATAATATGCAGATTAACAGTATAACAACGTAAAGCTACGAATTTTATTGTTGTTGCAAAATATTACTTTTACAATATAATAGTATAATAGTTGGTAGATATTTCGACAGATGTTGTTTGCACTAGTATATTTTGCAACACGCATTGTAAAAAAGTAGGTTTTTAGAGTAAGACAATTTATCTACTGTATAACTGTATTGCACGAATTTTGTGTTAACATTGATTTTCATTCTGAAAATTGTCACTGTAATACTACAGTAATTATTACATTGGATGACCTCTTGTAGATAGAATCATTATTTGACAATTGCAAAAACAATACCAATTTAGGTCAATAAAACAAACAACAAATATTTTTTTACGTTCAGTTCAGAGTTAAAATGAAAAAAATTGAATAACTTGATAAAAATCAAGGCATTGTAATACTTTGTTCATACTTATTTATTTTCATGTATACAAGTGTCCCACAGCCTATGACTTGTTTTAATTGAACAACTTAAATAACAAGAAAAAACTGTCATAGTACTTGAAAACAATACACTATACAAATACAAAACACATTGTTGAGCTTATTTTTTACGAAATTGTCTTAAAAACATTAAAAACTAGTATAATTTACAAAGTTTTGGTACGGTTTTTTTTTTTTGCAATTACAAACCATTTTTACCAAAGCTTTTTTTTTAGAGTAGGTAATTTTATCACTCTCAGTTATGAAAACAAATTTCTGATGAGCATATTATATGATATCGAAAATATTTTAATTTGAAAAAAATACATTTGGCCGGTTTTTCAACCTTTTTTATTTGTTTTTTATGGATTAGCAGTTAGAAAGTTTGATGAGAATAGTTAAAATTTACCCACAGTAGTAAACTAGTTGCTGCTACTCAGTACTCAATATTGAGTAACTAAAAATACACTGATAATGCATTTATGTTGATAATAACGTCGAAAACAAAGATAATAATTTTTTTTTTCCAAATCTACTTTTTGAATAAGTTTAACATTATTTCGTTGGATTGTTGTGAAATTAATGAATTTTAGATTTGTAGAAAATCATAAATTCCCAATAATATGTTTTAAAAAAAATTTATTTTTGATATATTTTAACATTATTTTGTTAGTTTGTCGAAAAAAGGCCTATCAAGAATAAATTGATACGTCAAAGCACAGAAATTATGATGTATTAACACTAGAATTGATGGATACAGAAAAATATGTTTTTGTACCAAATAAAAGGATGTATGCGTTATTGAAGTTGAAAAAATAGTTATAAAAATTTATCTCGCTATCCTGTGTTTCATTTATTTCAATCTACATTCGGCAATTGAATAA